GACATACCGATACTTCTATGAAAACTATTATTATAACTTTTCACAATATCCGATAATTTATCGATATATTTATAAGAATTACGATAAGTAAATAATCTATATATTTTATTTCGCAAAGTTTTATTTAATCTTTCAACAACAGCAGCTTTTGTATCGGAATGAGTCGAATAATGATTAATTTTAAATTTTTTAAAAAGATTTTTTACTAATCTATTATAAAATTCTTTTCCTTTATCAGTTTGTAAATTTTTCGAAATTTTTCTTTATTTAAAAATCGTTTGAAAAGCTTTAAAAACTGATTGGGGTTTTTTTTTTATCTTTTATCGGTACGACATAACAATACAGTGGGTGATCGGTTAACAAACACATCGCATAACGAACACTTTCGCGAAAGATTTTTATGTTCGGACAACGAACACATGATCGGATAACGAACACCCCACAGAACAAACACAAGAAGAAGCAACGTAAAATAACGAATACCGATTGGACTTTCCTTGTCTTTGGGCAACAATTTGAAACTTTTCGGAGTGTGGGAGACTTCGACATCGACGCTCAAGCCGGTATATACCGATCGGATATTATTCCTCTGAACTATGAAACTCTCCATTGTAATTTTAGCCTACAGTTCCGCAAATACATAAAAGAATTGTTTTTTCAAAGAAATAAATTTCTGACAAAACAATTCTTTTATATATTCGCGGAACTGTCGGGTAGACACTCGTTAAGTTATGCGTCTGTTTTTCTTTTTAAAAGTTGAGAGTATAATAGCAAAGATAGTGAGTGGGCACAAGATGCCTAATGTTGCTGGGCAGTATGGCGTGAACAGGTCTATAGTAGGCCACAGTTCAATCTTATTTCAGAAAAATACTGTATAATCAAGAAGACTCAAGCAGCTTAAGAAGTAACAAAATTCACATCTGAGAAATAAAGAACATCGAAGAGTTCATAATGGAATCTGAAACTGATCTGACGGCAGAAGAATGCCAAGAAACTATGCAAGATATGTTATTTTCTGAAAAAGAGGATTAATGCCGATATCTGCTATTAGACATCTTTTGAAGAAGTGGGAGGATGTCAAAACAACGGTCTTAGAATGGCCTTAGAGGTTAATAGGCTTGTGGATCTCTACAATTACAACGCTATTAATTATTTCTGAAAAACCCTGAAGAAGAGAGAAAAGCAATCGACAGATTCTTTAACCACCTACAAACGGAAAAAACATGACTAATAATAATGCAAGACTGTGTATGTATGTATTTTTATTATTATATATAAATAAACTTAGTAAGAAAGTATATATTTTTTCATTTTTGGGGATCTCCAAAACGAATTAATTAAATTCCCATTAAAACCTATGGTAAATCGATAATCGGTTAACGAACAATTCGGATAGCGAACAAAGTCTTGGAACGGATTATGTTCGTTAACAGATCACCTACTGCATTACGAAAGTCGTTATAAACATAATATCCAGAAAACTCAAACATTTTATCTAAACAATAATTCTATAGTTTTCAAAACAGATAAAGATAAACACGTAATTATTGCAGAAAAGGCATGGATAATTCTGAACACTACGGAACAAGCACACAATGATTTGTTCGTAAGCTTAATATTTTTAATTTTTTATCAAGTTACTCACTATGAAAGAACTAAACACTACTTAAAGTTCATTTAAAAATAAATTTCATACAAATTATAAAAATGCTGTATCAAAATATATTTGATATATATATTTTTTCTTTTAATTTATCTATTTTCACCTGGGTGCATTAAGGTAAAATTAAGATATTCGTTCCCGAGTTCTGGCAATAGAATTGCGGTTAGGTGACCGAAGCGATAAAGGCGTCCGTCTATTGCTCTGGGGGTCGAAAAGCTCACCGGTGACCAAGCGGTTGCGTTCCTAGAATGCTAGTTCGGTTGTGGTTTCGCGCCTCGCCAGGACGGGTTGGCCACGTGAAGTTTTCCGAGTTTTCTCTATGTCTCTAACGCCCAAGTAGGGACCAGTTACCCTTAAAAAACTTCCCGGAAGGCATTTCCCCGGCTCTTCGCGAGTAATTTTGTATGGTCAAGCAAAACGCTTTGGCCGGCTCCTCGGAGGATAAGCGCATTATGCAATAACCTCCATATTAATCCCGATACCACTGACGAGGGGGTCGAAAAAACTCCAGGAAATTTTCAGGAATAGTCTGTCCCGGATATATCAGGCCCGTCACACGGCCGTCTTTGCGGGCTTGGCCGAGCCCACACCGGGCCTGAATAAAAGACCCTTTTAGTACCCACAGGGTGAATAAAAAGAAAAGCTATTATTATTTAATACGGATTATAATTTATTAATATTCATATGAAAAAATATCATTATTTTCTACAGATTAAGCAGTTTGATATTTGGTATATAACTTATTTTTATTTATAAATAAAATTTTCTTAAATGTTTTTGATAATATATAGCCAGATGGCGTTTTCGAAAATATGGCTGCCTCAAATGAAAGCGTGTTTCATTTTGGAATTAAAAACGTCTTAAAAAATTGGACCGCTTTGCAAGTAAGTTCTGAAAATTGAAACAAATGAAAACGCTATGGTTGTGGATTATAATTTAATAATATCGATATTGCGGTTGCATAAAAAAATTATTGTAAACGAGATATATTCAATACCAATGTTAAATCCAACCAACATTCCTTCCATAGCTCTTTTTGTTGGCCAAATAAAATATACAGTAAAACCTGTGTAAACTGGAATGGCATGGTATCAAATATTTGTGTAAATATTTTAACTTTAACATAATCAGAAGAAAGAAATACTTAGAAAACCCAGAAACTGTACAATTAATTACTTCACAAATATGGGATTTCCATTACACAATTCAGAATTTCCATTACACATTTTGTGTCCAGTTACACATTAGAATATTCACTGCAGTTGGCATATGCACATATGCACATCTAAATTATCTGTATCTACAAAGTTTTGTTTGTGAACAATGATGAAATGGATATACACACCATTGGCCCATTGCTCAATGTTATTTTAGGCTCACCGGTTAAAGTCCAGTTGCATGTACCGTCATGGTGGCTCATCTCTGATTCCAGCAAACAAAAGAAAGGAAACAGTGGGGATGCGCGTTCTAACCTAACCTAACCTATTCTAATAAATTACCATAATTATTACCAACCAAATGATTAGATTAGGTTAGGTTAGGTTAGAACGTGCGTCACCACTGTTTGCTGGAATCAGAGATGAGCCACCATGACGGTATACGTATCTGGACTTTAATCAGCTCACCAACTATTGCTCGCATTATGTGTACCATGTAAAATCTAGTGTTCTGTTAAATTACACTCTTCTCCTTCCTATCTGACACTTCAATAAAAAAAATATTGGCCAAACACTTTCTGTACTTCTGAATATCCAATGTCCCTCTCTCCACTATCCTCTGTTGTATTTTCAGTGAAAATATTTTGATTTATCTCTTTTCACAATTGGTTTGCCACTATTGAGATTTTTGACTTGTGGTCCCTTTTGAGTTTAATAGTTTTCAGTGGCTCCCCCCATAACTGTAGCTTGGAAAACTTAAAACATAAACATTAAAAACTATTAAACTAAAATATAAACCTATTGAGTAGACATAAATTTTAATAGTAAACATCATTAAAAAAAAAGGACATGCTTTGCAAACACATGCAAGATTCAAAATGTCTTTGTTTACGAAAACCAAAATGGAGTTCCAATGTCAATTGGGAAGCTGGAATCATTTAGCAATGAAAATGTCTATCAAAGAGTCTTAATTGAATTCTAGCAAGATTTAATTTAAAATAAAACATCTGGACTAACATTTTCAATCTGCAAATGGAGATCATCTTCACATATTCAATGATGGAATGCTTGAATAGAACAATGATGTGTTTTGAAAAATTAAATAAAATAATTTTTGAATACATAAAAAAATAAGATAAAAGAGGTACAGAAATAAAACTAAAAAGTAACCAATCAAATTATATAAGCATAAATAAGAACATTCCATTATAATATCCTTGCGTCATGATGATATGTTATAGTTGGTCTCGTGATCATATAGGGATTACCATATGTAAGATGTTCATCTTTAAAATTAATGCAATGACCCTTATTTTGGATTTAACTTTTTAAATGTGAAATTGGTCAAAATCATCCTTATCAGTTCAAAAGAAAATCAATCAGTGGAAAAGTTGCTTGACTAGTTTTGCTGTATAAGTTCCCCTAGTAGACTGAGGGGTAAAAACAATTTAGTCTCTAGCCACAAAGTAGGAGAAAGTTTTCAGAACTTAAAGAGTTAGTTTTTAGTTTTTGGGAGAGAAAATTGGTAACTATTGAAGTATGTACTATTAGTCTAAGAATATTAAAATAATAATAGAAAAAGTAATTTGGTAAATAAAAAAAAAATATCTTAGTTTGTTATAAATATCATATTTCTCTAATATAAAATAATCATGGTGGTTTTTTATTTATTATTACACTTTTGTTTCACTTTATATTCAAAATAATAAGTAATTTTTATATATTTTATAGATGGCAATTGAACATGGGATGGGTGGCCCAGAAAGTCGTGCAAAAGAATTATGGCTAGCTGATGTTATTGAAGAATTTTTTAATAAAAATGGTATATGAACATATCTTTTATCAGTTTTTATTTCGTTTTATCAATTTTATTTCATTAATAAATATAATCTGACAAAATTTAATGTTTTCTGATATTTATCTTTAAAATAAGTAGTTTATAAACATTTACCTTACATCTATATTATAAAATTACATTGGCCTCATTCACTAGCTCATTGATGTGAAATTTTTAAATAAAAATAGACTTCTTAGAAAAAAAATTAAATGGTACAGTTAAAGGAACATGTCAAGTATATTATCAGAAAAAATTTGAAATCTCAAAAAGTAAGATGTTTTAAATATACTTGACCATGTATAAAACACACACAAGACATGTAAACACTTTGTGACTTTTTCATGATCTCCAAATTGCATCTTTATTGGATGCATTTTATGATTTTAATTTACTCCTTCTCAGCTTGTCTGTTTTATACATGACCAAGTGTATTTAAAATATTAAATTACAGATAATGATCTATTTTACAAATAACTCTTAAAAGTAAAACAGAATGAGCTATGGAATGTCAGTTTAATCCAAATTTTATATAATAGAATAGCATCCAAGCATTTAGTGTTCAGTGCCATATATCTATTCTTGAAAAAGTTTATAGCTGTTATTTTAAATCACAACATTTTTTAGTTTTTTACATGTCAAAATATAAAAAATAATCAGCAGATTAAATAAGTATAAATAATATGTAACTTATGTCATTTATAATTAGATCCATTCAAAAATAGAAATTGATTTTTCCAACTTAAGGTGTTTTTTATAGATTGAATGATGTATACTAAAAAGATAGAAGACATGTGCCATACATGAATTAAGATGGAAAAATATTTAGTGCTGCTATTATGAACTGCTTTAAAAAAATAACAATCTACAAATATAAAATTGAAAGTTACTTAGGGATTGTAAATCTAGCAACTTGTTTTATTACTGATAATATGATAAATTTTCAAAACATTACTGATAATTTTTAAATTTTGAGTGCAGATGCAAAAATCAGAACACTAGTAATTGTTGCTGATTCATGGATAAGTTTGCAACTAAACAATCACTAGTGCACTATGTCCAATTGAATTCTCTCTTTTCTGTTTTCAAAAACAACAGTTTCATTGCCTGAAAAATAGAACATGCTGTAGGTTTTTAGTTTTCATGATTGAAAAGTTGTCATTGCAAGCACTCACATTCAGATAAATGTATTCCATTTTGGCAACTAAGATTATTATTGTGCTATAGGGATTATGAATAAAGAAACAAATTGCTAAAATTTTCAGTATAGTGCCACAATATACTTTTAAAATTGTAAAGGAAACTGTACAGTGATAATTTAAAGGATAAATGATGTAAACTACTATAATAGTTTAAATAAAAACATTCAACACTTCTATCTTTAATATATAAAAATATAAATATACATGAAAGTGTATTAAAATAAACATTTGGTTTCAAAAATCTATTACATGTGCCTATTTTACCAAAATTGACTATTAAAAAATATCAAATTACTAGTATATTTATTGATGCATTTTTAATTGATTACTAGTAAACTGATTTATTGGTAATGCAATCCCTAAAAGGAATCATTTATTCAAAAATAGATTAAGATCAAACCATCCTTCCTTAAACTATTGAAATTGGAAGCTAATTATACAGTTATGAGATGCAGTTACTGTCTCTTTTTCACAAGCATATTATGCATATTATGTAGTTAAGGGATAGCTACTGAAGAAGAATGTTGTCTTATGAGTTTAACAAACATGGTGGGGGAAGTCTATTGACTGACAAACTTTATTCTGTATGTAATAGGACTTACTGCAGTGGCATGCCATGACATTTGATGATAGGGAAGCTGTGTTTTTGTAAGAAGCTGACTTACAGGGACAATTAGTTAATTGCACATCAGGGTCCATTCGTATTCATTTGTTTGATAAGCCAGTAAAAACTGTACACTTCTTTAAATGTATTTTTAATAGATTATTCGACATATGTAATAAATAAACAAATTTAATATAATTACTTTTGTTATTAGATTCAATAGATTCCCTATGCCCTCTAAATGCCAATTCTTGCTTTGAGAAAAAACATATAACATCTATTAATTTAGATCTAATATATCTATTAGTCATAATTATTTTGTTATAATTTTCCATATTTATTTTATATTATTTACTAATGTTAAATTCTATTCTGCTTTGATTTCCAAATTGCTTCAATTTTACGAAAGAATCAATGTGACATTTATGATTTTCATATCTTTTGCCAGCTTTACTCAAATTATTTAAATTGTCAAAGTCATTCTTATTCCACATACTAATTTCATTTGAAAATAGTAGGCAAGGCCAACGAAACAATATTTGCATTTCTATGCATCTACAAAACCATTTTATGTCTTCATAAATTTTATCATGAAAATGTTGAACAAATTTTTAAATTGAAGTATTTATATTTAATTTAGGCATTGGTCTTTCTCTTTTAATAATGTTTTCTTTTTCATTATATGGTCTTGAGCCAAAACTTTTTAAAAATAAATTTTCAATATCACAATTACAGTCTAAATTGCTAGCCACGATATAAGGGCTAAAATTAAAAATAAAATGACTGAAACTTACTTAATAAAATAAAATATGTGATGGATATACAATTATACATACCTGGTACAAAATATTCAATTGTATGAATATACTTTTAAAGAAAATTATAATTAAATATAGTTTTGTGAAGAAACGTACATATAAATAACATAAAATATTCTTTTCTTTTTAATTATCAAAACAATCCACTTAGTTAAAATTTCTCCCTACAAGTGGCTCATGGATGGAATTGGAGATGATCTTGGTAAGTGTGCAGTGCGTGCATGCATGCATGCATGCATGCCAAATCCTGAAGGTGACAATACCAGTTAATGTCAAATGCCTCTTTTGTCGCATTACTAGTATATCTCAAAGGACGTGACAGGATTGTTGTACATTTTAAATGTTTCTCACCATAGCTGTAAAAATCTAAACATGTTAAACTTAATTGTCATTTGTTTTCTAATTAATTTGTTCTAGGATCAGGTGTCCATGGAAATTTCCAAAATTTACAACTTTTCAGTCACTCTCATTGAACTGGAAAAATTTCTGTCTTTATTACATCTAATATTACGAAAAAATCAATCTCCATTGTACTCGGCTAGAGATTGGTTTGGTTAAAGTTTTGTTTAAGTAAAATTCTGGCTCTTTCAACAGAGTTTTATTTATGTCCCTAATTCCCTAATCTCTTAATTATTTAACTACTTCTTAAGTAGAAATAAGTTGAAACCAGTTACTTTGAACTTGAATATTTGTAGTCTTGGGAAAGAAGTGGAAAGACAAATTTTTATGACAAACGGATACATAAATCGTAAATTTAAGGAAAATAAATTCTAGAGCTTTTTTGTACCTTGTACATCTCATTCATTAAATTTGGTTGTAAATGATGCTGCCAAAGTAACAGTTAATTTTTTAACATTGTACAAGCGTTTTTGTACATCCCCTTGTAGGTGGGATATGAAATCATATCACTGGTTCAACATTGAAATCCGTAAGTAATATAAGATGGGAGAGCAGAATAAAAGCAGAATAAATATATCAAATATTTTAATGGACTTTTTTTAACTCCTGTCAACTATACAGAACTATCATAAAAACATACTAGTAAATTCCTATTGGTTGGGTTAAGTTATAAATTTACTCATGATTCACATAATGGGGCGAGGGTGGCCAAATATCTAGCAGGCAGGCAGCTAACAGCCCAGAATCGGTCCTAGATAGAATCATTGGAAACATTAAACGATATTTTGGTGTGTAGCTTCCACCAGCTGAACCAGGTGAGGTTGGTGCTCAGTAAAGTGCATGCGCAAATGTGTATAATCTGGATGTTTGGAAGCTAACAATACTTCGACAATACATACAGCGCTTCCATTCTGTCACTGATATTCGAATATACAATAGCAATCTTATTGGTTTTTTCATATGTAGTGTAGAAATTTGTAATAAGATACATAATGTGGTTATAATAAAATATTAATTTTAATTAATTCAAAGTACATTAAAATATGAAAATAATCGCGCAATGCAATATGTATTTATATTTTAGAAAATACAAGGGCAATACAGCACTTCCACCACTTCCAAGGATGACACACCACTGACTTACTGCCAGCATATTCTGCATTACAGAAAGCTGTTTAACATTTTGAATTACCTCTCCAAATGTAATTGTTTGTATGAAAGAACAAATGTTTTTATAACAAGAAGACTGATAGTGAGGTTCTTATATGTAGGAAGTTGATAAGACATCTTAGATATTATTGAGTTTTATAAAGTTCATAAAGCAATTTTAAATAATATAAAATGAAATAAAGATGTTTTATTCTAGAATTTCTAATTATTATTACTTTTTTATGTAGATAATTTACTTCCTGAAGAAGTAGAAGAATATATAGAAGAAATTTTAAGTTATGAATTTAATACTATTGCAGANTCAACTGTCACGGCTGCCGCACTTCAATATGCGAGGTCCCCCCCAAAACGGGTTGAAATTAAACATTTATATTAGAAATTTATTAAAACAAAACTAGAGAAAAAATCTCCATTGTTAAAAACCGATCAAAGATCGGATTCAGTTGTTCTAGTCATATGAAACCGAGATGAGAAAAAAATACTATTAATGTAAAACATGACGCAATAAATGTAAACGAGCGTCCTCCAGTAGAGATGGACCTTTGACAAGGAGTCGTATACAAATAATTAGAACATAGAAAATCTTAAAGAAGGGAAAGATTAATTATAAAAGGGAATATCGCGTCAGGTGGTTAAAATTCTAAGACATCAGAGACTAGACAACAATGAGAAAAAATGAGCGCAAGTTCAAAGTCCCATCTACACCTTCTATCCAGAGTTAACAGATAGTGTCGGGTAAATTTCCCGAAGCGAACCTTCTCGGGACCCGAACAGGTCTCGTCTTTCGCTTAGGGACAAACGTGGAACCAATCAGGATGGACAAAAAAGAAGAGATCGCAGATTAATGTAATCCCCGATCGTGAAGGACACGACGCACTCGGCGAGTCAACACAAAGGATTTAAAATCGGAAGCGCTTTGTCAACACACTGGGGAAGAATCTTTCCGTCTTCGTGCCGATACCGAGCCGTGCCGTCGACGACGCGGACCAACGGAGTCTCACGAACTGCTTAAACAACACTACCCCGGAGCCACCTGTACAACAAACAACTAAAAGAGCATCGATGCTATCGACTTCAAACCAGCCGATTGTGTTTAGAAAATATTTTTTTCTTAGTGTAAGTTTATTTTTATGCTAAAATAAACAGGTTTTTATAAGATACTTGTCATCTCTATCTCCTCCTCCACACCCACACGCGAAAATCGCTAGATCATTCTGACAGGGGATTAACGATCCTCCCCTAAAAGTCGGCAAACTTACACTGATGCGAGAAGTGAGATTTTAAGTCCCCAATCTCCACCAGTTCAGCGAACTTACAAATATACCTCAGCTGTAGTAACCGGTTTAGCACTTTTATGCTATTCTATCTCATAGATGGCACCCGAAATGAAAGTAAAATTTTTTTCTTGGAAGCTTCTTTTTGCTAAAGATAAGCTTGGCGCTTCGAAGCTATACCATAAACGTTTACTTTCCAGGCGCGTTCCCACGACTAAGTGTTCAGTTGATTTATCCACTCGGCCACTGGTGGGCCTTAAATTAGTAGCTATTTTCTGAAATCATGGAGCATGTCGCGTGAGATATGCATAACATTTTGCTATGAAACGGCCTTTATGGGTTAATGCATTGGAATCTCGTGAAGAAAAATCCAATATTAAACGAAATTAATGTATTTAGAAAAAAATTCTACAGAAAACACAAGGAAAGGAAAAAATAGAAATACTTCATACAATAAACAAATTCGTTTCGTTGTATTACGATTGCAAATCAAGTGACTAGTAAATTGTGCTGTTCTAAGAAAATGCAGAATGACAAATTATTGAGTGTACATGTGAAGAAGGTGCTTCCTGATATTTATTGGGAAATGATACAAGATATGTTAAAACCTTCGGCTCCAAGATTGAATTGTTAAACTTATAAATTTTTCATGTATTAATAGTGTAATTGTTTTGGATTAAGTAATGCCATTTTTAGATAGAATTAGTATAAAGTCGAAAGAGAGTTAGTTATGATCAATGTTGACAATTTTATCACATTTATTAAGGAAGCTTAATTATGTAAATGATTTTCTTGTGATTCTGGATACCAATAAAATAAAGAAAAGGAAATTCTTAACCAAGCAACTTTATGCAAAGACAATATACAACTTGAATTCGAAATAAAAAAACACAGCAAGTTGAATTACTGATTCTTAACTACGTAAATCAATCAGACAATTTTGTCTTCACAACATATGGAAAACGTGTAACAGTAAATACAATTAATTATAAATCTTTTTACCGATTACCTACTATGGAAAACGTATATAGAATAAAATGACGGAAGAGTTATACAGTATTAGAATTACGTTTGAAAAAGACAGAATTGAAAAACTTATAGACGTAAGATGTAATTATTTAATAAACGATTATTTGTATAAATTGCTTTCGAAATTGAAATACGGCATTTTAAATGTGAATATATTGTTCGGAAACAGAACAAATAAAATATTATACATTTTTACATATTAGAAGTGTTCAAAAGTGGGATAATGGCTCAAGTGATGAAAAACTCGTTAAGTACAGTGATAAGTGTAGGAAAAACATTAATAAGCTTCAAAAGAGAGGGGTTATATTTTATTTTCAGTGTTAAATAGCGAAAGAAAAAGAATACATGGCGGCTTCACCAGCTAGAAACAGATAAAATGACAAAGTTAAAGATAGAATTCTCTGCATTGCAGACATCAAAAAGCAGAGGGCTTGTCAGGGAATTGAACCCGGGACCTCTCGCATCCTAAGCGAGAATCATACCTCTAGAACAACGAGCCACGTTCAATGACTCCTACTATTTTATTCAAAAAGTACACACACTTCCTTCAGTAAAAAGCAGTGGCGTGCCGTGACATTTGATGATAGGGAAGCTGTGTTTCTGTAAGAAGCCGACTTCCAGGGGCAATCAGTTAATTCTTTAAATGTANTACAATTTTACCTTTCATTGATTCCTACTTTAATATATTTTATTATACTTTATTATAACCTAAAATTATTGAATCATAATCAAAACCAAAAAAATATATCCTACTATTGATCTTTTCCTTTGGATTGAGATAGAGAGAGAGTTTACACAATAACTTAAATATAATATACTTCTTAATATTTTCACAATTGTTTTTTAAATTGATAGTGTTTTCATTGTCTTTGAAATTGTTTCCTTTTTTTCTATTACATGCATCAAAGGTCTAGGATTTTTGGCCACACTGTCTTTCTTCTACACAGGCAACAAATTCTAGATGTGAGACTGCTCTTGAGCCAGGCTATCCTCTCTTTTTATCCAAAAAATTCGTCCAATTGTCAAAGCAAGGCTTCCATTCTTCTGACATATGACGGAAGTTGGGTGGTTTAACAGATGAGTCTTGTAAAATTTCACGCAAGAACTATCAAATTTGAAGGAACTTGTATTATCATACTTTAACAGAAAGGAAGTTTCTCCTCTAATTTTGTACATTTTACAAAAATAAGCAAAAATTATTGAACATTTTTAACAAAACATAATAAAAATTTTGAAAAAAGTACATTGTTTTCTCTGGATTCTCACAATTGATTTTATAGAATTATATATATAATGGATTTTATAGTTTTATTTTTATTACCAAACAATTAAAAATCTAGATTATTTTTGGACTATTAAAGTTAATTGTAATTCCTATACAAATATGACTGTACAACTGCTTACCTACAGTTATTATATAATAAATATTAATAATTAGAAATTAATTTTGAATTTTAATTAAATAATTTAGACATGAAATACAACTAAAATTTGTTACATATCTAATCAATTATGAAACATTTGAACTTATTATATAACCATACTAGTTAATTACAGTACAGCATTGATTATCCGACCCCCGATCAACCGTCACATCAGTTAACTGACCGCGTTCTAGTCGGCAAATTCAAATGTCTGCTAGTGATGTGGTGCTACGATATTTGGCTATGTCTTGGCTATTTTAATATTATTTTTGTTAAATTTTGCGTGTTTTAGCTGGCAACACTGTCTTGACCATGAAAGGGAGGCCTGTATTTAAACGAGGCTTAATTTTCTAATTTTTACTGATACGATAGCAACGATTATTATTTTAAAAAATTTTGTTAAGTTTAACATTGATGAAAATTCAATGCGAAGTAGGTTAATAGCGATATACTAATATTACTAATTATATACTAATACTAATTACATGGGATATACTAATATACTGTGCTACTAATGTATTTTTTCATACTTTTTGGTTATCCGTTTTTTCAGTTATATGACCAACCCCAGTCCCCAATTGAGTTGAATAATCGATGCTCTACTGTATTACCAAACAGACTGGAAACAACCAATGCCTGTATAATTAGCCAATATGGCTATAACATAAATAAGACTATGATGTTGACACATTAAAAATCATATAAATAGTTATGAAAATCATTCAAGTTATAACTTCCTTTCATGCTACTAAGTCTTTTTAGTAGCACAAAACTTGAGGCAGAAAAGTATGCTGAAGAAGCAAGTCTTGAATGGTTGGTAAGGTCAAGAAGTCAAACGTACATAATATCAAAGTGCAAGGAGAGGAAGTAGTAAATACATACATTGATAGATGGGAAAAAAGCCAGTACTTTGAGTTATGGCATCAGGAACAGTCTGGAACCTAAGATGACATAACTCCAGGGTAAGCCTGTAATTCAATATATCAAAAACTTCAGTATCTTTTTATTCATTAAAATTTATGCTACAGAACAAGTTTATGATTGTAATAATAGTAATTATATTTGAGCATCTATAATTTAAATATTTTTTATAAATATATGCAACAGTTTTAAGAAATGCATGCAATTTTGCTTATTTATTTTTTACAATGATGATGTTAGAATAAAGTTGGAAATCCTTAGAAGAAATAAAAGTTGAAAATATATGAAGTAAGAATTATATTGAGTTGAAAGCTGAATTTGATTGCAAGAAAAAAAAATGGAAATGCTGGAATTTTATATTCATTAGCAGTTGAAATAAGGAATGTAAACAACTTGGAATTATGAAAAACAATTGCTAGAAATACAAATAGAATATGTAGTAACCAGCTATTAAGATGAATATTTTACTATCTAATACTTAAAAATTTATTTTATTTGATAATAGAATAATTATTTGATTCTTATAACTAAAATCTGTTTAGATTACCAACCAAATAGTTAGATAATGGTTTCCAATATTAAGATTTATTCATGCTTCTCATAATCTTTAAATATTAATATATTTATTTAGTTTGGTGATTGTTATTTCTAATTATTATTTGTTTAATATCTTTAAATCTTTTGAATTTCTCATTATACATTCTTATGATGAACAGAGAATTCTAGAAAGAAATGTATTAGTTTTTAATTACTTCGTTTATTTCACAAGCTACTTTAAGATGAGCATTAAATAAATGTTTAAACTAGATTAAATTAAAAATAAGTAAATATTAATTTTATTTTAGGTATCCAAGAAATTCTGTCAGTATTTTGAATTTTGTCAAAACAAACAGGAATCTAAGATACTAGAAAGTTGTCAAAGAAATCAAAGGTCAGTATTACAGAACAGCAATCAAAAGACTGAATTGGGAGAAAATCCAGATAATTCAATGGTAAGAATGGTTTAAAATTATTATTATATAGTAGAAGAAAATTAAATTAACACTTTTGATGTGTTATTAGTAAAGAATTTGATACAAATTTAAATCAAACTTTTTCCCTTTCTTCTTGTGATTTTCAGAATTAATAATTATTCTTCATGTCATTACACAATGATTTTTAGAAAGGGTATATAGTTATTCTATTGNACCATTTTTAAGTCTACACAAATTACCCATTGATGTTCACGATACTTTATCTTCTCCAAGACCAGAGCTATGGTGTTATATTCTTCTTTCATTTTCGTTGAGTGAGCAATTGGTATTGAACCGTATTTGTTCCCATTGTGTAGAAGGACACATTTCAAACTTTGTTTTGAGCTGTCAATAAATAGGCGCCAATCATTGAAACATATTCAAGATATTGAATATCTTTCATTGAAAAATTATCATTGAAATATTATTGAAATATCATTGAAATATATCATTGAAAAATTAGAGGATATTGAAAAATATCCTCTAATTTTGTGACAAAACACAAAATTGTCTTCTTGAGAGAAGAATGGTAGCAGATCCTTTTCTCTTGTACGGTAAAAAGTAATTTTGGTTCCTTGCTCCAGTAAATTTTTCTCCTTCAACCCAGAAGCCAATAATTCAGAAGCTTCTTTTGGCATGTTGAGATCTCTGGTGAGGTCATTTAACTCATCCTGGTTGAAACATTGAGGAATTGATGACATTCTCTCTTAATCACAGTCANGCTATTTTAAGATGAGCATTAAATAAATGTTTAAACTAGATTAAATTAAAAATAAGTAAATATTAATTTTATTTTAGGTATCCAAGAAATTCTGTCAGTATTTTGAATTTTGTCAAAACAAACAGGAATCTAAGATACTAGAAAGTTGTCAAAGAAATCAAAGGTCAGTATTACAGAACAGCAATCAAAAGACTGAATTGGGAGAAAATCCAGATAATTCAATGGTAAGAATGGTTTAAAATTATTATTATATAGTAGAAGAAAATTAAATTAACACTTTTGATGTGTTATTAGTAAAGAATTTGATACAAATTTAAATCAAACTTTTTCCCTTTCTTCTTGTGATTTTCAGAATTAATAATTATTCTTCATGTCATTACACAATGATTTTTAGAAAGGGTATATAGTTATTCTATTGCACACATACAGGGTGTAAACTTAAAACTCCAATCCAGGGGCAAGAGAGATTCATCCAGCATTGGTTAGGGTAGATTATTGACTGCAGCAGACACAAATACACCAGATATATTATGTTACCATTCTACTACTGTCTACAACCAGCACAATATTCAGAGGATGCCATAACAGTTTGAGGGATGCAATATAATGATAAATTTACAGATGAACCAAACTCCTGTAGCACATTTTATGGACTGATGAGATACTGTTTTTCTAAAGTGGAGTGGAATGTATAATTTCCATAATGTGCACCACTGAACAGAGTGGTGCACATTGTAGAATGTTCAGATATTGATCACAGTGTTCCACAATGTATGCAACAATTGTGTTTCACCCTAAACATCTGTTGTGAAATTTTGGGTGAGTGGCTTCTTGGTCCTGTATTCATTTATAGAACCCTGAATAGTGATCAATATCTGAACATTCTAAACATGACAGTGGACAAATGGCTTGATGATTTACCATTAGCACAGCTTTGATACCACTGTGATGGCACACCACCTCATTCCTTGATGGACATGTTAGTGGCTTGCAGAGTGGTTTAGCATACACCTGTTGGATAGGGCAATACAGTTATGTTTACCAGACTTGACTCATCTGGAGTTTTTCCTTCGGGGTCACCTAAAAGTATCAGTGTATGATGCATATCTAGCAGTGCCATGTGATGTTGACATTATTAGAAAGATGCATAAGAGAGGCTTATGAAAGTGACACCAGGAATGCTCCATGCCAGCCATAATGCAATGCTTGACTGTCTACATTTTTGTATTGCCCCTGAAAGCAGTTATTTTGAACATGTTCTCTAACAAAGCACACTTTTTTGTATCAACTTCTGTAATAAAGCTAAACAATTGCTGGATTATATCAGACTATGTTGCTGTTATTACATGTTACTTGTGATGAAGTAGATGAAATAGTGCAAAATATTGTACAAGATAATATTGAAGAGTCTGATGATTTTTTGTCTTAGTGATGCAAAAATTTGTTATATGGCGAACATGGAAATTTATCGTGGTCAACACCGTGTCAGACCCTTCAGAGAAAGCAATTCAGCATCCAATGTGTTAATGAGGTTATTGCAGCCAATCAGCAATTGCAGTCAGGAAGGAATATGACAGCTGACAACTGGTCTTATGAGCTTACAATTAGTACAAAAATTAGAAGAAAAAAGAATAGGTGCAAGAATAAGTGTGAAATTCCTGCTTCTTTTCCATCTGCGAGGGTATATAACATACATAGCAGTCTTTTTGGATATACAAAAAAATGATACTTTAGTCTCCTATTCCAAAAAAAAAGGCAGAACTGTCTTGCTTCTTTCAAGTATGCATGTAGCATTGAAATGAAGTATCAGATGATGTTTCTAGAAAGCCAAAAATCATAGCATCTTGTAATGACACAAAATGTAGTGTTGAAGTTGTGGACCAGCAGTTCCAACTGTAATGTCGCCAGATCAACCAGAAGATGGCTGATGGCAATTTTTTATCATTTGCTAAATATACAAAGCATTAATTCCAGAGTAATTTTTCTAGGGAACAAAAATGAGTTCACTATGAGAAAACAATTTCTAAAAGCTCTATCACTAGCTTTATTGGATGAACAGTTGAAAAGAAGGTCACAGATGACACATCTCCCTAGAGATATCAGAAGCAAGTTAGTTAAAAAAAACTATTCCCAAAGCAGAACCAAAAGCTAGCACATTAGGAACTGTTGGAAAACAAAAAAAAGAGATGCCAACCATGCTATAAACCAGTGTTTCTCAACCTCTAACGAATTGTTGCCCCCTTCAACGTAGTATCGCCCCCTTCAGTAAAACAGTTACGTAGTATTGCCCCTTTCACTTCAAAATTCTGATGCTGAGGGCCAAGGTTAATGCCAAATTCGTACTGCATTGAATAGACTAGTGACTAGTATAATGCTATTTGTTTAATTATTGTACGATATAACGAATAAAATATCTAATTATTCTTAATATAATGTTTTACTATATCGCCCAGAAAATTGTTTTTTGCCCCCCAAAATATAAATTGTTACTAATTGCCCCCCTCAACATAGAAAAATGCCCACATGGGGGCGATATCGCCCCCGTTGAGAAACACTGCTATAAACAAACAAAAAAAAGACTTCATTGTCCTCTTACAGTTGTCAAAAATGTGGAGTGTATTTATGTCTGTGAAATACATGTGAAGACAATTTGTGAGAAATGTATAGAACCAGAAGCTGATAAATTAGACTATTCTGAGTGAAAATATTTTATAATGTTTTCAAACATAATAATCAGATTTTTTGCTGATTAACTTGAAATTATTTTTGTGAATTTGTATATTATTAGAAATTAATCTTTTTATAATAAATTTTTTGTCTTTCTCATTCAACAGATTCTACAAGTTGTTTGAATGAATTTTATTATAATCCACTTGGCTACAAAAAGAATTTTATAAATTTTAAATAAAACTATAAAAATCTGTATGTCTATATGTTGCTAAAATCAAACTGTTTCCTGTTTTCTATCAATAACATATCACAGTTATCATTGTACATTGCTGGAAAAATCTCTTTTGCCACTGAATGAGAATCTGGCATATCTTTTCTCAGCATGTTGTCTGGAGTCCCTCCAAGAACAAGGAACTGGTTTACTGATGGGCTGGAGACAGAGCTAGTCAGAGCTTTCATTTTTAAAGAATATATGCTCTGAACTTTCATTTTTTTTACCAGAGCTGGCTCTGTAAAAAATAAAGATTAAGAGCATATATTCTTTAAAAATTCTTGACTCTAGCATCCAGATCTTTTTTCAGGCTTGGTATTAATTTCTTTAGCTACTCTCTAGAAAGTTTTGAGCTTTTAGAGGTCAAAATTTTATGTGAATATGTAAAAAGTTTTGTGAATTATTGAAAATTCTGTAATAACTTATATTTCTATTTATAGAGATATATTCTTGACATATGCTTATCATTTTACAGAATTAATTTTTTTTTTCCTTCTTTTATAAAGCATTGAAGTTAAAAATCAATAATTATAGAATACTAGGTTTTATATGTATAGATTATATACAATATATATATATATATAATATACTAGAATTAGTATTATACAAATATGTTGTTATAACATAATGTTATTTCATTAATTCTGAGCTATGTAAGTAATCATTGCATTATGACCTGGACTGATTACCCAAATTCTATTATAAAGTAAACTTGTACATTCCCTATTGAATTAATTCCAATTATCAAAATACTGGAGTAATATGTAAATAAATCACACTACTGACACCAATAACCAGTAAAAGTACAAAAATTTTACTGTAAAATGATTAGTTCTTCTGTATACAATGGACATCACCAGGTTTAATTGATAGAACATATAATGGAACAACAAAAATTAAAAACTGTTAGTCTTTTTATAATAAATTTTTTGTCTTTCTCATCAGTATTACAGAACAGCAATCAAAAGACTGAATTGGGAGAAAATCCAGATAATTCAATGGTAAGAATGGTTTAAAATTATTATTATATAGTAGAAGNTATAAAGTAAACTTGTACATTCCCTATTGAATTAATTCCAATTATCAAAATACTGGAGTAATATGTAAATAAATCACACTACTGACACCAATAACCAGTAAAAGTACAAAAATTTTACTGTAAAATGATTAGTTCTTCTGTATACAATAGACATCACCAGGTTTAATTGATAGAACATATAATGGAACAACAAAAATTAAAAACTGTTAGTCTTTTTATAATAAATTTTTTGTCTTTCTCATTCACCAAATTCTAAAAGTTGTTTGAACAAAATTTATTATAATCCACTTGGCCATAAAAAGAATTTTATAAATTTTTATATAAAATTATAAAATGGGGATTTTTGTTTGTTTTGCTGGTTATTGGTGTCAGTAGTGTGATTTATTTGCAAAATTGAAGCTGGTGAAATGGAAATTTTTCTAAAGCAATATTTTACAATGGATATCTTTATAGTATAACTTGACATAATGTAATTGTAAAAATGTAAAACGTAAAAATGTTTCATTTTGGGTCATATGCAATTTCTCCATGGGCACTTCAAATGTTCAAAACCAAGTTTTCAGAAGTAACTTGTTCCTTAATATTTGATAATCATTGTAATATTTTAAATATTGGTTGGTTCTCTTTATTGCAATATTTTTGGATCTAAAAAATTCAAGGTTTTGATTTTCTCAAGAATTATTTATTAAAATAATTGTGTTTCATTATTTTACAAACTCAAAAGTCTTTTATACAAGTATATCATTTTTGACAGATACTTATAAAATTAGGATTAAAATATTATTTAGCTAAGTTTAACATTTTTTTCAGTAATTTCTGAATTAAGAAAATAGTTGATTGACTTATCTGACAGTAATGTTTTTTCTCTTGATTGAAAATTTTTAATCTTTGGACATTTTGTTTTGAATCAATACATGTCTTACAGATAAAAGCTCAAGACCATGCAGAGAAGCCTCAACTATTCACCACTCAATTGCTGATGGTGTCTAGCCATTTCCTCTTTGAGTATTTTAATCAGATAAAAAAAACTTTTTGTTCTTATCTTGAGATGCTATGACTGTATTTTAATTAAACTGTGCCCTATTACAGAACCCAAGATGTGAATTTCCCCATATAAATGAGGCTTGGGGATCCATGGCATCCAAAGCAACAAATAGCCCACTACCAGTTACCTATACTCTAGTGCAGTGGTTCTCAATCTTTTTGAAGTCGGGGAACACTAAACTTTGACATTTTTTTCCACAGAACACTTACAATACATCAACTTTAAAGCAGGGGTGGCAAACTCTTTTGAAATCAAGTGCACTCGGTCTAGTAGATGATGACATTGGCATTTGCTAATTACATTCCCATACAAAAATTATTTTACATTATTGATTTTTCTTTTTCAACAATTTTTAATTGTATATTTGTTTTTTCCCGGAACACTTGAAGTGGCTTCATGGAGCACCCATGTTCCGCAGATCATGGATTGAGAACCATGGGTCTAGTGCAATGTTTGTGTCTATATTCTATACATTGTTCTTCAGTTTTAAATAACTTGCATGAAAAGTTTTATAGTGAATTTCAACTCTTTCATAATGCAACAATTATATGTTTGTAATGTACAATTCATTTTTCAAACATTTTGATTCCTAAAACAGGCCAAAAAATGTTTTTTGTATAAACTTTGACTTCCAGAAAAAGCATTATTATTTCTAATAGTTTTACAATATGGTATTAGGATTATATGAATTTGACAATAATCCACATTGCTTGGAAAATAAATTCAGAAAATTCTCAAACCTATAAAATTGGGAAGAACTATCTCTGATCAACATACAACTATCATGAAATATTTCACTAAATTATAAAATGCCTATGTAAATTGTATGATTTATCTTGTATATTTCTTTCAGCAATCTTTACCACAAATTCAGAATTTGACTTTGAACAGTGAACCAGAACCGGATGTATCGTTTAATGGCGATGACGACGGTGGATGGACGCTGGTGACAAATCACAGGAGGAAATGAATTTAAATACTTTTAATATATATTTTAAATTGTAAATAAATAATATAAAATCTCAATGTAGTGTTGTTATTTTTGTGACAAAGTATATTACCGATTTTCCAAATATTATGTTATAAAACATATCGTAACATTAACGTACTAATATAAGTGTTTCTCAACCAGTAAAATTAAGGATAATTATATGCAACTATGAATCATGCTCATCTAGAGCTACTGTACGTAAAAAATTACTTACAGTAACTGTAAATTATGAATGATATTTAAATAGTAATCAACTGTATTTTTCTGCAGACTGCTTTATAAGAAGCCAGTTAAATTTGGGAATCAATCACAATTTACAGACAGCTTTTCTTCACTAGACAACTATTTAGTTTGAAGAATGCAAGTTTTCAAATGAAAAGATATAATAGAATTCCAGAAAATCTTTGAAAAGTTATGGAAATACAGTAGATCATCGATTATCCGACCCCCGATTAACCGTCACATCAGTTAACCGACCATTCTAGTCAGCAAATTTCAAATGTCCGCTAGTGATGTGGCATTACAATATTTAGCTATGTCTTGGCTACTTTAATATTATTTTTGTTAATTTTTTGTGTGTTTTAGCTGGCATCAATGGCTCGACCATTGAAGGGAGGCCAATATTTAAACGAGACTTAATTTTCCAATTATGAGTGGTTATTTGTTTCGTGAGCAATAAAATAATTTTAGAATAATTTTTAACGATACAATAGCAACGATTATTATTTTAGAAAAAATTTGTTAGGCTAAACATCGATGAAAATTCAACGCAAAATTGGTTAATAGCAATATACTAATAAATTAATTACATGGGATATACTAATATCCTAATATACTATACTAATAATGTATTTTTTTCCTTCTTTTCGGTTATCCGATTTTTCATTATTCGACCAACCTGAGTCCCCAATTGAGTCGGATAATCGAAGCTCTACTGTATTTCATTTTCCAATCTTAACCCAATCTGTGTTGATATTTGTATCTTCCCATATCACACTACTGCCAGTAAGACAATTTTTAATTAAACTATTGTCAATGGCTTGGATATCACATATACTTAAAACTTTTTTTTTTAAATAAAATTTTTGGTTGTTATTTCAGAGAATACTATAGATTGTTTGAACTTTGCTAAAAATAATTCTATGGAAAGCATAAAAACAGACAATTGTTGTTTTGATGAACTTCTTTGGAATGACTTTAGATTGTCATCATTCCGCTTGTGATTAATATGATCTGTTTTGTTACGTTTTGTCATTCAACTGAATGAATTTTCTTTCAAGCATTAAATTGTTTTATTAAATCAGCTTAAATCTCAAATTCTTGTTAGTTCTTCAAAGTTTATCACCTTACTTGTTATAGCATAACAACGCTGAATGGTATAATTATTACTTCTGTACAGTTGTTTTATAACCAAATAAATCCATAGTTATAGCATAAACATAAACAAGAAATGACTGTTCTGTAAAAGGAAGACTAAAAGAATACCATTTCTTAAAAATTAAAAAAATTAAACATTGTATTTATTTGATGTTTAGTTAAAATATTAATAATTACTTAAAAATATAATAAAAGTTTTAAGTTAACTATGTAAAGCAACTTCTGTCTAAAAATTTAGCTTTAAATGCAATACATAATCAAACATTAAAAAGAAATTTTTAAGTTTATGCCTAAGTTAAAGTTTTTAAACAAAAAAATTTCAACCAATACAAAAAAATGTCAACATGAATTTATTCATTCTCTACACGATATAAGCCCTGTTTTTTTTTTTCTTTTACCTTTCTTCTCTTCAAAAGATGCTAAAAATGGGAGCATATCCCTAAAACAAATATTAAAGAGGTTTGACTCCATAAAGATTAAGCTAATTATTCTCATAAAAGTTTCATAGTAGACTTTAAATAAAAATCTAAAAAAATACATTGCTCATATCTTTAAAAGTTTTGAAATATGTTTTAATAAAAATTACTTTTGAACACAATCATTAAAATTTCAAAAAAACTTATCTCAGATAACGTGTATTTTTTCGGTTTTTGAAACAACTATTTCTATTCTGGGGCAATAAGATTTAAAACAGTTCATTATGATTCTAACCAAATACATTCAAGAAATACATTTTGAAGTTTTATATATCCTTTGCAGTTTTATTAAAGAAAATTATATTGTTAAAAATATTTACTTTAAATACATTTTTACAATAAAGAAAGTAGAATAGTTGGATAAGTAATGCTTTTTTAATTATAATTATTTACATTCCTTTCAGTGCTTTCCACTTTTTTTTTCTGGAGATGAGCAGATGTTCTTTTACATTTAACATAACAAACTGAAGACTATCTTCAAACAAGTTTTTCCAAAAGATCTGTATAAAAACTAAGTAACAACTAAACAAAAGCATTTATAAAATTCATTTTTATTTGCATTTATTATTGTAACTGGTGTGAATAATTCTAAATTTTATAAATTAAAAAAATAAAAGAAATTTAGTAANTTTTTGGGTTCAATCCAAACCATCGCTACGCCATATTTCAGACTTTTTCTTTTCCTAGTAGTCCACTGTTGTAAATATTCTGTACAAGTTTTACAGACCTGATACTAAAAAAGTAGAGCTGATAGAGAAAAACTGATTTCATATTTGGATTCAGCAACCCAAATATAGCTAAAATCAGTTCTAAAATCCTAGGCACCAAAAAAAAATTTTTTTTTTGTTGACCTGTGTAATTGATGCTCTACTGTAGATGTTATTTTAAATCATTAATTTTCTATTTACCTTTTAATCATTGTTCACTATTTTTAAGCTTAATCATGATACGATATTACACTAAATACAATAAAGTTTATTTCCCCATCATACAAATTTCAAATGATGGGGAAATAAACTTTATTGTACTTAGTGGAATATCATATCATGATTAAGTGTAGTTAATCATTTTTCACTATTTTTAAGGTAAATAGAAAATTAACTTTACTCCATCATACCAAGTTTGCCTGGGTCTTCCTCTCTTTTTCTTTTTTGTGGAATGTATTCCACTGACATTTTCGGGAGTCTCTCATCACTCATTTTTTTCACATGTCTGAACCAAGTAAGTTGTTTCCTCTGTATTTCTTCCAAAACCATCTCCTTCAATCTCATTAAGTCTTTGATCCTCTGGTTGGTTCTTTCTCTTTTTGAGATTCTGTACAATCTTCTAAATGCATCCATTTCAACTGTTGTTACCTTTCTCTTCTCCCCAATCATGCCTCTGTCCCATATAATAGAATGCTTTTAACAATAGCATTATATATTCTTTTTTTTTCTGCATCTAGTTATTTCTTCACTCCACCACATTTCATTTAATCTTTTAACTGCTCTCTTACCTTGTGCTAATCTTGTATTAATTTCTAATGCATCTCTTCCATCTTGATGAATTTGTATTCCAAGATAATTGCAATGTTCACATCCCTCAATCTTTTCTCCTTCCAGTTCCATGTCTGTTTTAACCCCTCCTATGCATAAATATTTTGTTTTACTCATGTTTATATATACTCTTAAAATATTCCTCTTATTTTTCTTGTCATGTATTCCAGATCATCCTTATCTTCTGCCATTATCACTTGATCATCTGCAAGTTGCAATGTAAACATTGGCTTACTGTTAATATCTATTCCCATATTACAACAATTCTTTTTCCATATTTTCAATACTCCTAGGTAGATTTTAAATAAAGTTGGTGAGATGCAACAAGTCCTTTTGATACCAAGTATTTTCCATGTTCTTGGATTTATCTAGAGCTTCTTCATTTGCTGCTTCATATAGTGTTGTTTTTATATTTTGTATAATTTTATAGTGTTATCATATTCTCTTTTTCTTCCAATTTTTCATGAATTTTGTCTGAAACAATCTTCTCGTACTTTCTTCTGCTAAGCTTTTGAGATTAAATTTAAGATCTTTAATTACTTCCATTTGCATTTTTTCTTCTTTCTGTGTCTGTATTACTCTTTTGTAAGGAATAATGATTTTTGCTCTTACCAGATAGTGGTCTGAGCTGCAGTTAACACCTCTCTGTGCTCTTGCATCTAAAATTTTAATTTGGGTTCTTTGCTTTGTAATAACATAGTCAATAGTTGATTTCCACTGCCTAGTATGTTGAGTTCAAGTATATTTATGAATATCTTTATGTTTAAAAACCTATTATTGATTTTAAAGTAATTTGTATTACAAAAGTTTATTAATCTTTTTCCATTGTCATTCGTTACGTTTTCTCCAAAACTGAACGAAATTCATATTGCAAGAGTAATTTCAGATAATGAAAACTTTTCAAAGATGATAAATTTAAATTACTCTGGTCCTCTAGGTTGGGGGTTTGGATGATAGGCCTGCACTCTATCTCCTGTAAAAAATCACACTGCAACAGAAAGCTCCAGAAAAAAGGAACCAGATGAATTATATGGTAAACGACTAAGGCAAGGTAAACAGACAATGAATTTGGCTACATGGAATGTACAAGGGATCAGATCAAACAGACAAGAGATAGTAAAGAAATAAAAAGAATGAAAATTGACTTTGTGATCTTAACAGAAACAAAAAAGAAAGGATCAGGAATGGAAGAACTGGAAGACTGTGCATATTTACTCTGGTGTGCCAAAAGAAGAAAGAGCAAAATGTGTATCCCATGATAAAAAAGAAATTTAAGAGAAATATTACCAACCTTGAAACAATAGATGAAAGGATAATGAAAGTTAACCTAAATATTTTTGGAAGACAAATTACTATCATTGGAATTTATGCACCAAATTAATCCAAGGTAAGGATTTATTCTACAACAAGATGCAAGAGGTGATAGATGAAACTGGAGAGACAAGAGAAATAATGTTACTGGATGATTTCAATGCAAGAATGGGATCATTGAGAGAAAACAAAATTAGTGGACAATTTATAGAAAATGTACTCATCTAAATTAGAAAAATATTATTGGACATAAAAAAAATGAATCTAATATAATTTAATCTTGGATTATATTAGATTAATGTTTTTTCAGATTCATGAATTTTTTCAATGAAATAATTTTATGTAGAGCAAGAAGAAAATAGATCTATCAGCTTCCTAGATCCAAAAATAACATTTGGTATTTTATTACATGTATTGACTAGAGTTTAGAACAGAGGCCTCCAACCTTTTTCTGAGAAGGGGCATGCAAACTGTAAATGACAAGTCTGAGGACCAGAGGCTTTATTCTGGTCACTTATCTTTTGTCTCTTCTTTCAGAGATAAATTACATCAAAACGAGAGACAAAACTCATCTTCCAGAGAAGCAATTCTGGTTACTTGTAATGCTCTAGTTTTTGTTGTCGACGTCACAATTCTGTTAAGTTGATTATACATGTTCGGATTATCTATGTGCGAGCACACACAATGCAGTACAGAATTTGAACCAATGAAATAGTAGAATTTTCAAAAATGCAGAATACAAAATTATAGATTACACAGTAAGGAAAGCATGAGGTTCAAAGCATGTAGTTTTGACAAATGTGCATTTGCTTTGTAATATCAATGTTTTGGGTAACATTCTTTTAACAAGTAGAATTTTAATAACTTAGAAGAGTGTGCATACCTTAAGAAAAATTAGATGATAATATTTCAAAAAGTACTTAGATAGATGGCCCAAAGATGGTTCAGTAATTTGGGCTTCTACTCCTTTATTTTGTATAAGTAACTTTTCTACTTGGACTTGTTATATTGAAACATGTAATTATTTATTGTGACATCATCACAATGTCAGGCTGCAATTTTTAATCATTTTTTGAATTTAAAATGTATACTTTCTGCCTCAAATTACTAGTGTCTTGCTCCTATAGTTCATACTTTTCTGTTAGCAATAGATTCATGCCAGTCATCTAACTCCTTTTAGGGGAAAATTTTTAAACTGAAATAACGATTTTTAGTTTGCACCAGAAGTTCATATATAGTTAATTGGGGCTTCCTGCCCCTAATCTTTCCATATATGGTTTCTGCTTTGACTTTCCTTATTCTTGAGAACAGAGTTAAATAGATGACGGGCAACAGTGGGAATTTATAGGTCAATTTTTCCGATATGTAAGCCATTCATAAGCCAAATCGATTAACTCCACATTTCAAATTTTTTTTTTAATTTTAGTGTGAAAATACTTGATATACTCGTAAATTTTTATATTTATAATCAGTTTTCCTAATAATAAGGATCAATACCACTTAATGACAAAATTTTATTGGCCATCGAAAAAATCTTAATTAGAGTGGCTTCTGAAATAAACAACTCCATACTATAACATTAATCCACCAATGCACACTGCAGCATTGCAATTGAAGTGTGTGCTCACCAGTGCTTTGTAGATAATGGTAAATTATTTAGTGTTATCTCATCACAAAAAGTAAGTAAAAGAAATTAGTTATAGTCTAACTGCCCGCAAAAGTAAGTATACTTGTGGAATATTGAACGATTGTTTTAATTTTGGTGACAATTGTTTTTAGAAAAAAAGTTATACCCGTTATATCAAGATGGATAAAACTAAAAATAATTTTTTTCATTCGTCCTATTAAACATGATTTTTATAAAAATTTAAGAACAAATTGACTGATGGGATCTCAAATGCAGCTGATCATTTATGTTGCTGAATAATCAGTTTAAACAAAACTATTATTTTGTTTAAATTCTATTCTGTTACTGTTAACCATTGTAATGGTAACAGAATAGTTATTATTCATTTTTGCGAAAAATCTTTAATAAAAAATGTACACTAACGTGAAGACTGAATTTGATGTTATTACGTTTTTCACTTGCCAAATCGATTAACTCCTTCAATCACATCAAAATTGTAATAATAATAATGATTATAGCATATCTATGCTATCTTATACATTTTATATGTCATTAAATAAAAGCTACATCTACAATAATACATTCTACAATGTATTTTTGAATTTATATTTTACAAGGAATTTTAAAAATGAATGTATATTACTTTGTTGCTTTTTGTTTTATGGAGTTGATTTGGCAAGTGAGCAGCATGTGTGGGTTCATGCATTACAGCCCAATGAGTGAACCCACATGCATTTGATTTAGAATCAGTAAAGTGGCCACTTGAAAACAGATCAAAGTGTGAAAGATGGAAAAATATCTTCTGGAATCACTTTTCAGAAACAATGATTTCTTGAGACGTAAACAGGTGTAGCAAATCGGTGACTGGTTTGTGATGTACACACTTTTTCAAAAACAAAAGATGACGGCCAAAATATGGCCCCAGGTACCAAAGAATGGGAAAAATTTTGACACTCGATATTGAAATATCTTTTAATATTTTTGATATTTGTCAGCAAGGCTGTTTGATATTTTGATTTTATATTCATATCTCCTTGATTAAACCCTGGAAAGGTTTATTTTTAAAACAAGTATCCCTTGGGGTTTTTTCAGGCCAAGATTTATTACCATGCAACAGGAGACAAGTAGGTATAAATTGAAATATTTTAATTATTTATACATTTTCCAAAGTATTAAAACCATTTATTGAACCACATTTATGGGTTATGGCAGTGATATTTGTAATAATTACCATTTTCATAGTTAAGACAATTTGGTGTCTTCCAATTTGGTTATGTTGTCGTTCATATCTGTCTCGATGTCTTTAGGAATCAAGACCTTGGCTACCATTTTTTGGTAGTTGAAATCTTGGAGAGATGGCAAGTTTGAACCAGTTTTCCTAAATACCCTTTGGCCAACAAGCTCTCAACTTAAAAACTCAAGCATGACTCTCCCAAGCTTATTTTTTAAAATAAGATTATAAATATTATTTCCATGAACCTTGAAATAGTGCTGACTCTAGACAATTTGAAGAGGTAGAATTTTAGTTACTGCTTACCTGCCACTCAAAACTACATTACCCCTATGCAGTGCAAATTCAACATTTCAACCTAGGATTTATTTTTTATTATTATTCCCTGGGTTTTATGAAGAAATACTGCACCTTTGCAAAACTGAAATATTATATGTAGGAGCAAAAATAAGAAATCTGAGATAAAGGAGTTTGTCTTAGAAAATACTGTAATTTTTTATAAAAATCATATACAACAAAGACTATTCCATCTTGAACTAGTTCAGATAATGATATTTAAAGAAATTAAATGAATATGCTTTAGTTAGAAATAAATATAAAAAAGCTGATTGAAAAAAAGGATGATGGGAAAAAACAGGTGATAAACAGAAATATGTTATGTTAAATGCCAGATTTCTTACATGCCACAGGTTTGCTACCCCTGATCTATATTCTAAAATTAATTGGCAACTTTTTAGTGAAAACAATCAAATTTGCTAAGAATTGCTGGATAACACTGCAATTCTTGGTAATATGATTTTTATTCAACAGTAATTTCAATTAATTAATTCACTATACTAGAATTATAGTAATTTATGTAATCTATTTTAATGCACCAACAAAATGTTACGGCACTTTTTTTTTAAGGAAAATAACTTGATTTTCACTGAATATTTTTTCCTAATAACCTTATTCTATTTCAAATATGACATTTTAATTTAAATCAGTCTGTATTTAATGTATTCCTAATCCAGAGATAAACCAATATATGAAATGCTGCCATACTTGATGTGTAACTTTCCAGATTATGGAGAAGAAATTTTGACAAACTACTCAACAATAAGGGAAATATGGCAATGTGATATCAGCTCTTAATTTGCACATCAACAACGCATATTTGGAACACTGCACTCCTATCAGCTCTGTGACATCTAATCATTTTTATGTTCATATTAATATATGGAACAAGCACAATGAAAGTTCATATGGTACTGAGTACCATATGAACTTTTAACATATAACATATGACATTTCCATTCTTCCAGTTCACTCTGGATGGGTGGTATGATTCCTACTTGCATATTTTCCTTACTGGTAATATATTACCAGTAAGGAAAATATGCAATTCCATTTATTGCCAAAATCTTTTCTCCATAATCTTGAAAGTATACACACTAAGTATGGTGTTTATCCCACTGGTTTCTTTCTAAAATTACTTTACAGTAATTTTAGAAAGAAACCAGTGGGATAAACACCATACTTAAAGTAACTGTAAAGTTGATAATAAACCTTTATTGTTAACTTCTGCACTGTAATTTTTAACTTTCCATTACTATTGTTTTTTTCCAAAATTTTTAGATTTCTCTTACTGTTAACTTGGTTAAAAATAATTTAGCATGTTAGAGAGCACAATTTGTTGTAGTCCTGCCATATTCCTTTCTATTACACCATAACTCTGCATCTAGTGGACATTAGTTTTTAGAGCAGTAGTACAGCTTTCACTTTCCCAATGACCACGTGTAACTGAAAAAAATAACTTTTTTCCTGACAATCATTCTTAATTAGGACCTAGCTTGGAAAATTAATTGATCCCAGAATAACAAAGTAAACAATCACTTAAGAAAGCTTTCAATTGTGAATTACCCCTGTTTTGGCATTATTAGAGTGTAATTTAATGGCATTTCTGGTAAGGTTTAGTTAGTAGTCATTTAAATCTTTGCTAGACATTAATATGTTTATTCAATTTTTACCTCTTAATTAAGGTTTGCTAAGTGTTTATAATAAATATCATTAATAATAATCCTTTAAATTTCAGCTGAAAGTAATTAGAGTAAGAATGTTATTTGGATTTTAAATGACAAATATTCATTTGGTATGTCAGCTTAAAAAGAAAATTATTTAAGTGGACTGGAAATCAATTTATTTACAAGTAGTAATTATTTTGGAAGAATTAATAAATATTACAAAATGCACAATCTTTTATCATAATTCTATACAAGCATGAAAAAATGATCATTCCTGAAGCAGACAGTAATTTTCACCTCCAAACAAATCTCTTTTACAAGATTTTAAAAAAACTTTGACCAACCAAGTCCACAGTATAGAGCCCGACCGATGGTATGACCCGAATGCCCGACCTATCTTCCGAGGCAGATAGTATAAACAGATTTATAGTTCATTCCATTTCGGAATAGTTATAAGAAGTTCTCAGACTACCAGAAAGTCTTTCAGCAAAGTAGTTCTTCTTTTCTCAGCAATATCCATTTGATTTTCTAAATCCTAAAAGAAAGAAAAAAAAAAAAAAAAATTATAAAATCCACCATGTAAGATTTATTAATATAATCACCAATAAAATAATAGCATTTTACCAGGATAATGGCAAAATTTATCACAATGTTAATTTTCATGCAATAAAATGAACAAATCTTTTACCAGACTTCACTAAACCAAACTAAATTACTTTCACAACTCCCAAGAAATAACCCTATTTCCAATAATGGTTGCTTTTTATACTTTTCAACATGACTAATAAAAAGTAGTACTGTAATAAATGTTCCATTTTCAGTAGAATAGTGTTTCTTCTACTAGTAAGCAAAGACTGGTTTGACCTTGGATTATAGAGCAATTCAAGCATATGGTTTTAGTGAACTATTCTACTCTAGTCAGAAAATAGGGGTTAAAGTTTAAGGATGCCCTCCTTTAAATATAACAGTTACAGTCCTATACAAACACATGCTAGTTTTGAATATTGGAGTGCATACAGTGAAGGTAGGTTTGGTTACTTTGAGCCAATCTGATTTCTTTATTTTTACTCTTTTTGCACCAAAAAAATTTTTTTTCTGTTGAAAATTGTTTGAAAAATCACAAATTTCTTTTAGCTTTGTTTGATTTGAAAAATCAATATAATTTTATTTAACTTCAATTTGTCTTATAAACTTAATGAAAAAGAAATTCTTATTGAGTAAGGTTAATTAAGAAGCATAGTTTGTTCTCAACTGTACATTATCTTCCAAAGAACAATTTCTCAAATTATCCATTTTATACTTATTATATTGACAAGTCTCATTAGTAATATCAACACATAAATATAACCTGAATTTATATGATATTTCAACTTACATTACTATGATTATGCAGTTTGTAATAAAGTCTAACACATTATTGCCTGGCCATCTAGCTAGTTGAAACAGAATACATGTATTGTTAATCTTTATAGATATTTAAGAATACTCTCCAGTGAATATCATTCTACTTCCAATAGAATCTTATATATATTATCAGCTAAAACCTTGCAATTAATTTTTATAACATATATAAAAATTATTTATTAAAATTTATAATTTTCAGCCAAAACTATATCATTTAAAAATTTTATTACAGTATTTTAAATATAAAAACTAAAAATGTTGCTATTATTGTAATTTTTGAAAAAATAACCTAAAATTACTTGATTTTATTGACCCTATCATACTCTAAATTAATGTCAGGATCTACTGATTTAGTGGATTGCTTGTCATGTAATATTACAAAGAATTAATAATGAAATTTATTTTTAATACATTTTTATGTTTTTAAAATTTTTTCTAATAACACACATGTAAAATGTGTGTCTTGTTGGAACTGTTTGTTTTAAAATGAATATTCAAAGAAGCACAGCAACAGATCACTTCACAAAATTATTGGAACCAGTAATTTTGTAAAGTGTCGAAAAAAATTAAACAGCAAAATTTTTCCTGCAAAGATAAAATTAAACCCATGTAATGGTGTCTAGGGAGTGGGGTCTTTAGTGATAAGATGATAAGGCTACAGTTGAGTTTTGCAAGAGGTTGTAATTCGATTTTGAGTTTTTACTGAAGTTAAGGTGCTGATAGGGTTTCGTTGGTCTAAATAAGTAAAATAGCTCTAAAATAACTATTTCTAAGTCTGAAATAAGGTAAAAATAAGCAAAAGTTAGAATAAAGGCCAAGGAAAATCCAAGAGCAGTATTAGGGAACATTGGGAGTTTTGTTCCACTACTACCATCATATTCGGATGATCAACATGGTCCCCATATAGGCAAATTTTTTAAGTCTGACCAATATTGCAAAATTAGCAGCATGGACAAAAGCTCAAATGTTGGCAGTGGCTCAATTAGAGTTAACTGGGATTGCACATGAATTTGTGTGAAAAGATTGGCAAATTAAGGATGTAGATAATTATGAGGTAATTAAACAACTTATGTTGGACAGATTTAAGAGAATTCTATATTCCCTTAGATTAAACAAATTTTATGCATGCATGCAAAAAAGGGACAAGGATGTACAAATGTATGCTGTCCAATTGCAAGTAGGGGAGAGTGTGTAGTGCACAAAAGGTTATGTATAAAACTGTAAAGTTCTTGTTCCAAAAACCATGTATAGATGCCTTTAAAGGCATCTATACATGGTTTATCTCACTCCTGTTATTTTATACAGATGCAGATATTGTTGAGCAAATTAAATCTTCAGATGAAAAAAAAATGATGATGAAGATGTAGAAGAAACATCAGAGAAAATGAAGTGCCGTCAACCAGGGAAGCGTGTAATGCAATAAGATTATTGAAAAAGTTTTACAGGTCTCGGAAAACTTATTTTCTAAATCATACATGTTATTCATTATTTCCAATTAACATTGTAGGCATTTTTCACCTAAAAATTGTTTATCAATCTAAAATAACTGACTTTTTTAAGTGAATATTGTTATTGTGTCTTTTTAATTGGCATACATTAGTTTAACTTTTTGTTACCTTTTGATACAACATTATTCTCAAAATCAGAAGTGCTGCCATTATCAAAACTTAAGACAAATAAGAATTTCAAAAATTACCTTTTATAAGAAATTTCTAAGTACATCAATGTGTGAGATAGCAGAAATTCCTATATTAGAAATAGTCTTTAATAATAACATTTTGCGAATTATGCAACAATTGTTGTTCTTAGCTACCTGAGAAAGTCTCCCGTTACATTTTCTCGAAAGCAACACGACACTTTCTCATAAACTATTAATTAACCTCTGCACGGCCGAAATCACCCGTGAATATCACCAGAGATGGCTGAAAAGAGTTAGTCACCGTTTTAGTCCTCAGAGAGAAAGAAGCCGTTGTCCATAGGATAACCTTTTTTGTGTGTGTGTGTTAGTGCACAATCGAGCCTGGATAAATCAAAAGGGACATTTTGACTGGATATTCCACACCTGGATACATCCTGAAAAAGCTATAAGAAGAACTATTACCTTGTTCTCCAATTCAACACGTCCCAACCGGGATATCTATTACCAAAGGTATTTATCACTCTGCAAATCGTATGTGAACTCTCTCTCCGCGACAACACTTTATCCAATTTATTTTTAAATAAACCCTTGTTAATTGTTAAGTGTATCTGAGTCACTTCCACATGTTGTCTCTCGATCTAACATTAAGAATCTGTCTGTCCACGTATGGGACTGCTCGCGCGATGGTGTGACGTCATCGCCGTCTCGGCTTCCGTGTTCCGTTAAACACAGTGGTGTCAATCCTGACAGGGCACCAAGGAGGTGCCGACCCGAAAGGTCACAAATGTAAACTTAGACATAATAATGTAAATAAAGTTGATTTAAACATTTAGTTTGCACTTTTATACATATGATAATAAATTACTATTACCATAATAGATACAGTATACTGTATTACCATTAAGAAATAATTTTATGGTAATAAGTACGATGTTAAATTAGAATGGATTTTATAATAGATTCTTAAACACACTTGGTACTTTTGATGGGACTGAAATTATGACCCTGCAGATAACAACACTTGGTTATAACATCAAAAAATTGACGGTCCCATGGATGACGTTATAATCAGGTTAAACTGTATTATTATGGGGCCCAAAAAGAGTTGAGTGTCAAGAACTGTGTTCACTATAGAAACTAAGCAAGAGATAATAGCCAAAGTAGAAAGTGGGCAGAAGATGTCTGATATTGTAGGCAGATAACTTCAACAGGTCTACAGTAGATAAATCTTAGCTAAGAAAGATATAATCAAAAAGACTTGAGCAGATAAAGGAGTAATGAAAATTGCATCTGAGAAACAAAGATGTGCCATCCCTGAAAAAATGGAGAGACTGTTTTTAGTTTGTTATTACATGTAAATAAACATAGTAAGAAAGTATATAATTATTTCATTTTGTGGGTCTCCAGAACGAATTAATCAAATTCCCATGAAAGTCTTTGGTAAATTGATAATTGGTTAATGAAGAATTCAGATAGTGAACATAGTCTTGGAATGGATTATGTTCGTTAACTGATCACCCACTGTATTTTCACAATTAGCTTGAAAAGGCAAAAGTCAGTCACAAGGAAGAGCTTCATTTGAACTGTTTCACAAAATGACCATACACGACAATCTGAATGAAACTCAGATTGTGGAAAAAAAAATATATTGAAATAAAAATGAATATTTTTAATTAATTATTGTCATAATAATAAAATGTTTACAGAAAATTAATTTATTTTCTAATTACTGGGTAATTTGTTGCTTAATGTATATTTAAAATATTTAACAGAATATATTTTAATTTACTAAAATAATTTTCAAACTTACTCCTCGATCGGTAGTTTCAGCTCTCTCTATTTTCCAAGATAAATTTTCAATTTCTGCTTCGAGTTGAGCTTGCTGATATTCAAACTGAAAAATAATTGTATAACACAACCTTTATAACTTTGGAACTATTATAAAAAGCTAATTATCCAATAAAATTTTTTCTACTTAACTATATTTGATGCAATATGGTATAGATTTTTTAATGAAAATACAATAAACTTTAAAATAAAAGTGACATCCATAGGTGAATATAATAGTTATAACAAAAGAATCATAATTTTAACAATTTTTGTAGCTAATGTATTAGTTTTCCATATAAAATTTGATGAAAACTTAACAAACTTGGTCTCCAAATGTTAAGTTATTTATAATATAACACTAAGCAAGGAGCACAAATTAATAATTTTTAATATACAGTTGATTCAAAGTTTAGTTTAACTTTTGATGCTACTAAAAATAGCTGCAATTTGTAAGCACATGTACATATCCAAACATTTTCTTATATACATTCTGTACGTTTCTATATTCAATGGTTGAATCAACGACAAGAAAACAACGTTTCTAAATGGACCATTGAGTTCTCCATTGAAACTAATGATGTCAGCACTGTTTTACTGTTGAGCTCAATGGTCTCAATGACCTGAAAGACCGTTGAGTATTCAACAAACTAACATGGCGGCATTCATGAAACAAGTAAATTTCACTTATAGAAACTATCGATTCGCTCTTGCTGTGGATGCTGTAATAGTAGACAGATTAATGAATGATCTGTATATGATAAAACATGTGATTGCACAATTATGTTGGATAATTTGTTTTTGGAAGAAACTTAATATTTCAATATTGACCATGAATTTGTCCAAAATTGATTATAACCAAAATTTGGCCCTCTTTAAGTCTTCTCAATGATATAAATATTCAAGACATTCAAATTATTAAAGAAAGACCCAATTTAGAAGAAAATGATACAGAGAAGGATTCATTTGAATAAAAGGATTTATTCAAATACAGGTATACCTCGCCTTACGTCGGTAATTGGTTCCAGGAGAGGCGATGTAAGTTGAATTTACTTGTCTCCAAATCTACTTGTCACTAGGCTAAACCATAAATTACCATTCCCGGTTCTGTATTTTATTTATTAATGCATTTTTAATAATATATGGTTAATAAGGATCTATTTTAAGCTTACAAACAAATAAATTTTAGTTTTTAATATAGTACAGAAAAAAGTAATCTAAATTTACGATTTACAAGTATGTAAATACAGTACATACTTGTAAATGTATATATTTTAATATGATTTTATGTGCTTTATATGCTTTTCTAGTGATATTATGACTTCAATATTTGTGGCGGACAGACGTAAAGTTGAATATAATGACTTAAACTTGATTTTTATTTTTCCATATACTTTTTTGACAAACGACGTATACTCGGAAACGATGTAATTCGAAACGACATAAGTTGAGGTATACCTGTAATGGTTAAGTGAGTTACTTTAATTATTTAGCAAAACAGTCACAATTGTTGTCTTCTCCTTAATTAAGCCAGCCATCATGAAACGTGCCCTTTCAATGGAAACATTTCTTTATTCTACAAAAATGTGGCATTAGATCATTCAATGGAGAACTCACCGGCGATATAAGTGTTAAATTTAGAAACATACAGATAAGTACTTATTTGACACAGTAGATGGTTGTATTCAGACAAATTAGAACATAAAACATCAAAGTATTAGAGTATATTAGATGCCATAATAATTTTGAAATGTCACTCATTAGCAACAAATCAATATTAAACAGATTTAAAATGTTTTCAGTAATTACTGAATTTAATTTTTATCAAAGAAGCATATGATAATGACACTACATCTCATGTACAGGTTTACAAATGGAATAAGCATTTTAAAGAAGACTCAACACAGACAATCCCCGACAAGAAATGATAAAATTATTTCAAGTATGTAAAGTCAGAAAAGATTGTAGGCAATCAGTAGATTATTTGCTGGACATTGACAATTTTGAATGGCTCTGTACACATTCTTCATGACTTAAAAATGTAGTGTATCTAGTCTTGCATTATTTTGAGGATTTTAACAAAAAGGTAATGGGAGGAACACACATTCATAAGCAAAGAACCAATCAATGAAGCTGCTAAAGATCTAGATATCTTAAAAAAGGTGATTGCTGGCAATGAATCAGATGTTTCTTATAAAATTTGCAGAGTAAAGATGCCTCATCAACTTGTTAGCCAAAAAATGTGGGTTATCACACAATGAAATGCTATGAAAAACATAGTGCTTGATGTATGATATGTGATGATAAGGAAAAAGTCTGTGCCAGAAATTAACCCATGTCAAGAACAGAGGCAATAGAATTGATTGTTCTCTCTTTAAAGGCACCAGAGATTCACATTTGATGTAATCATAGATGATAAATATCACTATCCTTTCCTGCCTCCTCATCTACAGCTTACTTTAAAGAAGGGAAAAATCTACCTGGAAGAACATTACACCAAAAGATAAAGCTACCTGGCTTACAGTTGAACCAAAAGGACCACTAGAGCCATTTTTCATGGAATCAAAATAAGCCATAAACCAGAACATTTATGTAACTGAATGCATTGAGAAGAGCATCCAAAAGCACTATTCAAACAACAAAGGATATGTTTTGGTCCAATCTGGTTACTGCATGTCAAGTAAAGCTGGTTTCATTGGACTCAAAAGTGATACCCAACTCAAACAACCTTCTAAACATACTCCAATTTCAATTAATTGAACAATTTCAAAGTTCATCATAAAGAATTGGTCTATATTAATAGATGACATGTAAAATTAAGTCAGGAATTAACAAAATAAAGGAAAAGTTGGCAAAGTTCCAAACATTTATTAGTCAAACTTCACATCAGGAGTTTATTCTATATTTTTCATGCTGCTAATCAAGGGATACCAAGGGCCCTTGTTTAGCAATTTGTTGCCAGTGTGTGGCTCTTGTAATTAACAATTATCAAGCTATCACAGGAGCAGTCTTATCATGTATCATTAATAAATTTTAAGTAAATTATACTTTGGAAAAAAGCAAATTTACCATGAATACCATGTCATTCTGATTACCATAATTTGATTACCATGTGTTGATTAAAAAGTGTTTGTATTTCTCATTTTATGAAATTTATGTATAAATAAAATATTGTTATAGAAGACTGAATTATTTTTAGGCTATAATATGGATAATCAATAATTACAGTAATTTGATCAAAAGGTGGTTATGCTTCCATCTTGTGTCACGTTAAATCATCCCAGATCCCATTCAATCTTTGCTTCCACATTATAATTAATAACAAAAAAGTAAGACAAAGTCATACAGGTTAATCTTAAAAAAGTTCTCTTGTCATTTAATGTATTAAGATTAATGAGTTAATCACATCATAAAAATAAAAGCTTTATGTTAACTAAACAAAATAAAAAATAATCATCATCAAAATAAAAATTTTTGTAATAATATTACTGAAAATTTTAAAGTAACTTACTAATTCTTTACGTGGGCCTATTTCCATATAATATGCATATGGATACGTGTACTGCAGTGTGTAACGACACTAAATATGAAAATAATCATTTGAAATATAAATTTTAAAATTTATTATCCAACCAACTTATCTGTCTCTCTTGAAATGTCTTTGAGAACTACATCTTTAAATCAGTTTTTATTTATATAGTTGACATTTCATATTTATTCTTTCATGATCCAAAAAGATTAGTCATCAAAATTTAATTTTATAAAAAAAAAGTATACACTAAATTTTGCATGTAGATGTACAGTACAGTATATAAATACATCAATAAGGTATCTTAATTTTCATAACTGAGAAAGACACATCAGAATGACAGATAAGTCAATGGGATAAAATATCAAAAATATGAAATTTATTTCTATTATAAAGAATAACTTGTATAATCATTATAATCAACAAAATTTGGCACTATAGCTAATAAATCTATCAAGAACTGCTTATTAAAGATAACAAACAAACTTTCTGTAACTTCAAAATGTTTGATACAAATTGAGCCATCTTTGGTTCAGGATACATTATTCTAAGAACAGCATAGAGAAAATATTGTTCTATAGGTTGTTCTTAAAATAACTGTACTCTGAGTGGCTTGTAATGTATCCTGAACTGAAGATGGCTCAATTTGAATTGAAAGCACTTTGAAGTTAAAGAAAGTTTCTGTTTGGGTTCCTTAATAAGCAGTTCTTGGAAGATTTATTAACTTATGTTAAAAAAATAACCATAACAAATTGAATTTAAAGAAAACTGGACATAAAAACAGAAAATTAAAATGTCAGGAAGTTTAATTTGATTATTAACTAATAAGAAGAATAATCATAGTATTTTTTAAAGTATTTAAATTTTTGAGATGTATTAAGTTACTGTTTTACTTCTGTACATTTTTACTATTACATAATTATTAAATATATTAAACATTTTAAATATATGTATGCTGATTTTATACAATGTTTAATTCAACATATTTTACAGAATATATTGATATGAGAAATTTTCACTACATCAAATCTAAATAAAACTTTTTTTTTTTTTTTTTAATTTTGAATTAGACAATATATGATTATGTATGCATCTGAACCCAAGACATGAAATTATTATTTTTATAATGGATCAAAATGGCACTTTTTGTATACACACTTGTGCCCAAAGCATTGTCAAAATAGATAATTTTATGAAAAGAATTTTTGAAAAGCTAAAAGAGGGTCAGATCTTAAGTGGATGAGTTACTACTATCCCTCCCATTCCTCAATAGGACAGCTATTTAATATTAACTTAGTGAAATGTAACAGAATATTTAGTGTAGCACTGCTGAGCTGTCTACAGACTCAGGTCTTTTGCCAGATAACCAGTACATTGCATTCCATTGACACTTGTAAACAGAAGTGCTCATTTAAGATGGTGTCAAAAACATTGTTCCATTCATTTAAAGTCCATTATCAATGTTCTGTTCATTGACAAATCCACATATATAACATAATTTTATAAAAATTGTCTTTTAAACTGAGATTGTATACTTTAATTTTGGTAAAGGCTCATTAATTTTTTCATTACAGTCACATTTAATTAAACAAAACAAACAAAAAAAATAATAAAAAGCTACAGAAGAACTTCAGAAAAATATTTCAGCTAACTATTCAGAACTAGATTGAAGGAACACCAGTACAACTTACTGAAAGGCCATCCAAACACAAACTTAGCTGAAATATTAATGACTAATAAAGATGCAGAAGCAAAGTGGAGATGCAAAAACTATACTTCCAATAATGAAAAACGGTTCCTTAACAGTAGCAGATGAGCTATAAATAACCACAAACTGGTACCACACTATACACAAACAAAAAGAAGGAAATGACCTAAATTTGGGCAATTTTTCCAGACTTATTCTATTTGTAGATCAAGTGATGAAAACAAAGTCAGAGATCAGATCCAAAAAATATATACACTTTTATTAACATTGGAAATGCACTTCACACTCTACAGTCCATCAGTCCAACCAGTTTGTATAGATGACTGTAAGCAGAAAATTCTGGCATATATATAAAGATAATACTGTATGATGATCCTGCTCTTAATGACAATTGTTATCCCTAAAAAGCATTTACCTCCAAATTAATAGATTTTAGAAGAAAAGACCATCTGGTTTTTTAACACACAAGTATGAAGTTTAATTGTACATAGTTGCCATTAAAATGATTCTATTGAGAACAGGATCATCATATTACCTCTAATGCTGTTAATTAGTACTATGCACAATTAAATCCATACACTAATCCATACTTGTGTGTTAAAAAACCAATTGGTCTTTTCTTCTAAAAGCTGTTAATTTGGAGGTAAATGTGCTTTTTTGGGTAAATTGTCGTTAAGAGCAGGATCATCATATTATCTTTATATATATGCCAGAATTTTGTGCCTATAGTCATTTAAGTGAACTGGTTGGACTGATGAGGGATTGTAGAGTCTGAAATACATTTCCAATGTTAATAAAAGAGTATATATTTTTTGGATTTGATCTCTGATTGTTTTCATCACTTGATCTACAACATATAATAAGTCTGAAAAAATTGGCCAAATTTAGGCCACATCAAGATATATTAATCACAGACAAGAAACAAAAATATTTAGAAAGAAGGAAATGACTTGAGAGCTATGGATGAGAATGCCAAAGACAATAACACAACTGTTAAAAATTTTTTTATTGCTTTTCTTCTTTTTATTCTAAAATCAACAATTTACAAGTTTTTAATTCTGTAGAATGACTATCTTATTATTCACTTATTATTGTTATTCTTTCATTTATTTATTTTAATTCCTATTTATCTATCTATATTTTAATTTTTTGTGTTCCAGTTCTAGAGATTATTGCTTAAGATATTTTATTCTATGGCTTAAAATGCAAGTTTCAGTTATGTATTATAATTTGAATGTTCAAATAGCATTGTTAGAATTGTTCATCATTTGAATTTTTTGATGATGTAATCTGATGACGAGGCAGAATGTCTCAAAAAGCATTTAATTGTAATTAAAATATAAAAGAACTCCTAATACTATAGTGTAGTAATTAGTGTTTTAGTAATTTATTTTATTATGCTTTGGAAGATTATACCGATATAATGTGACAATTTTTCTATCTAAAGATTTTTACAAATTAAAGAATTTAATATAAATGGTTCTCTTTTCAAACATGTTCATTATTTGAAATATATTTTAATTTTGTTTTATCATGTATTAAAAAAATACCTTTGCAAGAAGATCAGCACCATCTAATAGATATTGCCAATCAATCCAAGTTCCTTGATTACTCATTACTTTCTCATTAATTCTATTTTTGATTTTTTCTAGAGTTTGTTCTTCAAGTCGAAGACTCTTAGCATGATTTTCCCACTGAAAGCATATAATATACAGTCTAAAATTATTTTAATAATGTTAAAATTGGTTTGGAACAGCTACAAATTATCGTTGTGCTGCAATTTGAAAAAAATTGTAGACATAAATTTCTATTGCTGTTTGTCTGTCTTTCCATAACTTCAAGAACAGTGTNGTTTTTTTATTTTAATAGAAACAAAATTTTAAACAAATATAAAGAAAAGTATATTATTACTCTTTCAAAGTAAAACAAATATTTTTTCAGAGGTGAATTTAAAGTGACTCTTAAATATATAATACTGCTAGATTTTACTACATTTCCTAACAAAAATTTCAAAATTTGTTATAAGTTTGGTTTTCAGAATTTGATACAAAAGTTTTTTTATTTTAATAGAAACAAAATTTTAAACAAATATAAAGAAAAGTATATTATTACTCTTTCAAAGTAAAACAAATATTTTTTCAGAGCTTCTCTTGCTTGAGCATGAGCAGATTCATTTGCTATGTTTGGATTCTCTTTGTATCGACTACATTCATAATATTCACTTCCATGCGTTCTCCAGTCTATATACAAATAAACCAGGAAGTAATTCTATACACTGATGATAAACAATTAAAATTTATATTATTTCAAAAATTAAGAAATTATATTAAAAAATAAATAAATATTGCAATTACAATAATTTACATCAAACATTAATAATATAATTTTTCTGTTTTAAAATATTTGATTTTGAATTTATGTAATCTTATCCCAGTCTCATTTTATTATTTTCATTCTCTAATCATTAAAAAATGTGTACAAAAAAATTAATTCTTACACATTTCTCAATAATCAACAAGGGACAACAAAGAAAACAACAATTTGAAAGTGTTCACTCTGGACAAAGAAAGGAAACTTTAAACTCAAAACTTTAGTATGAGCAAACTTATTTTTCTAAAATATACTACAGGCATATCTCAATTAACAAAGAGGTTCCATGAACAAATGCATTCCATAAAATTACTTTGTTAAGCAAAACTTTGTTCTCAGAGGTAAAAATACTATGGCCTTAATAGAGATATGTTCTTATCTAAAGAAAAATAGGCTTTTTTTTTGAAAAAAGAAAAGCTTTATTAAACAAAAAAGTCAATATTGCATTCCAAACAAGTATAAAATGATGACATTTTAAAACAGGAAACTAAAGTGGATTATTATGCTTAGTTTTATCTTTCATTTAACAGTTACTTGTACAGATTTGTTGCAATTAACAACGATCACTTAACAATAATACTTCTTCCTAAATCATGATCACTTTCAAACAGCTTTTCATTTTCAAACAGCTTTCATGCCATTCAAACAGCTTTTTAAATCTTTGGTTGCTAATGCTTTTTCTGTAGGGTAACTTCTTTAATTTCATCTTCACTTTTTTTTGCTTCATTGTTAACAAGTTTTTCTAAATCTTCCATTGAAAAACTATTATCTTTTGCATTTAATAAATTTCATACATTCTCTTTGTCCACACATTTTCGAAACTTACTGATTGAGACATCATTTCTTATCTATTGAATGTTATTTTCTTCTAGTATAATTTATTTTTTTCTTCATACTTCATTTATTGCATTACCCCACACTGAAACACACCTTATGCAGTGTAAGCAACAACTAAATTATTCCAATGATGCATGAAACTGTAAAAACAAACATATCTATAACTTGGAATATGTGACAAGTTGCCATCATTTGACAATCAAACGACTTTCCGACATTGATCTTAAAATTTTTGCAATAAATAGGTTTTGTTATATCGAGGTTTTGTTACCAGAAGTAACATTAACCAAAATATGCCTGTATTCAGTATTCAGGAAATTTTAGTAATTATTCAAATTAAAATAATTAAGTGTATTATGGGATATTGGGTAGAAATAATCTTTTTATAAAACAAAGATTGATGCATGAGGTAATTTTTAAAAAACAGTTTTCTATTTTTCTTTATATATATATATATATATATAAAGAAAAATAGAAAACTGTTTTTTAAATATATATATACCGGCTAAAGTGCTTTTGTATTTGGAAGGAAAACAGCACAATACACAATATATCCAAATCATTGATATAATGAGGTCTACTGCATTTCTGTGCATTTACACTAAGAAATTTTCTTCTTAATTTTAGAGGAGATATATATTAACTTTTCATAAATTAAAATTTTAATAAAAATATATGAAACTTCAGATATTACAAATTTATATATATGGAATATACAAAGAAAAACTTATTGGATGGAGAGTTCAATAAACTAAATAATTATATCTTAAAGTTTCAGTAATTATCTTAATATTGTAATCTCTTTTATTGTGTTCTTTCAATTTGAGTTTTTAAATGTAGCATTCTATTATTTATGTTCCATAAATGTTGATATGTATAATGTTCCAGTTTACAATTTGTTCTTTTTTTTTTTGTTTTGATTGAGCCTGAACAAAGTTATTGAATATGGCCAAGAACATTAGTATTTGATATTAAAATAATTGCTGGAACTTTTAAGTGTAATTATTTAGTTTCTTTATACAAATGATTTTCAAACATAGAGAAACAAATCTAAATCAAGATGGAAGAGGCCTATACTTTATATACATAGAAAAAAGATTTTGGTATTAAAATGTAATTAAAACTTTAAAATAAGTAAAAATTTTTATAGTTTGGATATTTTTGATATTTATAAAATGATGTCATCAGGATTAACAGAATTAAACTAAAGGATAAGAAAGAGAATATATAAAATGTTTATTTTCAAATAAATTTCTGTGTGAATTTTTAAAATATAACTACCAATTCTATTCTTTTGTCTTAATGGTTAAATTTTTATTATCTAAACTAGTATTTATTGAAATACAGTATTTTAAAAAAAATAAAGCAATTTATAGCTTAAAAAACTTTTTAATTTTATTTTATTTCATAACATATTAAAATGAAAACTGAGATAACAACATTAATGTATTTCATAAAAACCAATGATAAGTAACTACAAAAAAGTATATTTCTTACCTCCTAAACACATCCAACAAAAGTCATGTCTGCAATTATAACATTGCTACAAAAAAAAAATAAATAATAAAACACACAACTTCAGATATATTATATGAAAATTGTTAAATCCTTAAAATAACATTTACTAAAGTATCCCTTGCTTAACAGAAATTTGATTAACACTGCAAAATCAATTGCAACAATCCCTTTATATAAGCAGCAAAAGTTTTAATTAATGTCTTTAACAGCTGTCTTTTACTTAACATAGATATGTGATTTAATTATAACAGTTGTGAAATTTAACATATTATTATTAATGTGATATTATATTCTTTGTTTAGAAGCTTATTTTAAAACTTCATATTTTGTTTGTGTAAAATCAAATTGGAATGCCTGCAGATAAAATACATATTGGGCATATTATGCTTTTTAAGTTTCATAAAGGATATAATGCTACATAACATAAAAGATACTTGCAGTGTGTATGGGGAAAAGGATTTTATATGTCAAACATGCCAAATGTTGTCTTGAAAGTTTTGTTTGAGAAATTTTGAACTATAGGATACAAAATGTATGGGTCACTCAAAAGCTATTGATGAAGAGAAATTGTTAAAGATTGATGAACAACAACTCATGAACTTGAAACAAATTTTAGTGTGTCACAGACATGTACTTTTGAAACATTTCATTCACTTGGAATAGTTGCAAAACATGATTGTGTTCCTCATACATTCAGTGAAAAAACAAACTGTATTGAGTATTATTTGTCAGTCAAAGGTAGGCAGGAAGGCTTTAGGATTTCATTTTATTTTTAAATTAGTTATTCATTTTTATCACAGAAAACTTTTTATGATTACAAAATTGAAGTTAAAACAAAAATTTGTTCTAGCAGATCATGATTGTTTGGTCAAATACCAAGGTATTAACTGTGTTTGATTAACATGATAGCATTGGGGGATTAATTAACAGCATTATTCAAGGGATAACTATACTTGCTTTTGCTTATATGTAACTATATAACTTAATTATAAACAAATGTATATAAAATTGTATGATTACATAAATGCATTAATATAAATATTTCAATTAAAGAAATAAGTAAATGCAATAATGCAATATCAAAATTTCAAGATGAGATTTGTCATTTGTAAAAAATTGATGTTAATATATTAGGGGCAGTCAAATGAAAACAAGATAGACTATATAATAAGTGTGGCACAGAAGTTGGTAATGCAGGTAGGTGTGTATATAGAAGTGCCCTCTATTGGAAATCAGGAAGGAATAGCATGAACGTTCACCACTGTGCCATTTGTCTGTTAGATATGCTCGAAGTGAGGTTGGCGAGTCGTGTGTGCATCCAACATTACTATGGAGGTCCACTGCTTGTTGACTTTCTGAAACACGGTGCCACAATTAATGAACAGCGGTACATAGAAATTTTGCAAAAATTGAAGTGTGCCATCAAATCCAAACACCCAGGAATGTTGACAGACAGCATCATTCTGTTGCAGGATAATGTCCACACACATGTTACCAAGATGGTTTTGACTAGTCCATACACATCCTCCATACAGTCCCGATTTCTCCCCATGCGATTTCCATATTTTTGGAGCCCCGAAGAAAGACATTTGTGGCCATCAATTTGCTTTGGACGAAAAAGTGCACGCCTGGGTACAATCATGGTTCCATAGGCAACCGCAAATACTTTTCTATGAAGGCATTGACCATCTTGTTTCACAGTGGGATAAATGTATTAACAGTTATGGCAATTACTTTTGTAATAATAAACAGTTTACTTACTTTTTTCNAAATGGCAGCTTAACTGCCTATCTTTAGATCAAATTCTTTAGTTTAATCGATTTTCTTACAGCCCAATAATAATTTGTTCAGTAGGTTTTAGTTATATTACATTATACCGTCTTGGAAAAAGTTTGAGACTAAGATCAAAAATTCATATTTTACAACATTCTAAAACACAATAAACATTGTAACCTAATTTGCATACATCCAGTTGTGTGTTTTCAATCTTCAGTAACTAGCAATGACAGTTGTATAACTTTCCTGGCTGTTATGAGCTTTTACTTAAAAAAACTTTTATATTATTAATAACTTAATAAAATTGTGTGTGATGTCATCTATTATGAGATTTTGTTATAAAAACTTTTTGTTTTTTAATTACTATAAAATGGCAAAAAGCTTATTTTTGAGGGTAGGATGAGTTTTATAAAAAAAATTATAAACGTTAATAGCAAGTAAAATCATCATTGAGTTTGACCCTACTGAAGATGCAAAATTTATCACCCCATCTCTTGACCTTTAACCACCAAAATTTAACAGCATCAATGTCCTTCATGTACAAGCCACCAAGCCAAATTTCATTACTTAATGTTTACCCCATTCCGCGATATTAAGCAAAATAGATGTCAACACACAGACATACAAACATATCTATGCAATTTGTTCCTTGCTGCTTTTTTTTTTACTTTTTTTTCAAGACATGGAGATTTGCAAAAAACTCGGAGGGTCAAATTTGACGTAATTCCAATACTTTCCAGCCAAAAAAGTAAAAAATGATAATACAGTAAGACCCTGCTTACACTGCCTCAATTTAATGTGGTCTGCTCGAAACCTAAAAAAAGCTTAAAATTTACGCTGATTTAAATTATCATGGCATTTCATTGATTTGTATATAATATGATTATTTGCGAACACAAATCAATCAACAAAAGGTGGCAAAAAAGGCATACTTTCTTTAAATCTATGTTTGTTTGGTGCAATTTTGGAAAAAATAACATCATGGATGCCATAGGAAATATCGACTTCGCTTGGCAAGAATTAACTGATAAATGCACGAACAAAGTATGGAAGAAGGTATGCAAGAATTCTCAATGAGAAGAGACTATCGCTGTATTGTTAGATTGACCAAACTCAACCTAATCAATATAGCAGGACTAGGAGATGTAGACGAGCATGATATTGGGGAGTTACAGCATGTTTCTGGTTAGAGCCTTACCAACGACATTCAAAAACTGGCAGAACATGGAATTCACGTGGAACTGGAAAATAGAGATTTTGAGAATGAAGAACCCAAAAAATTTCTCTACAGATTTCATTAGTAAAAGTTTGGTAAGATAACCAAAATTGTTGATCAAACTGTAGCGAATGAACCAGATTTTGAAAGGAGTGCAAAACGAGGCATTTTGGATGCAATCTTCTGCTACCGATATTTGCTTAAGAAAAAAAAAAAAGCAAATGAAGCTTCACGACTTTATTGCAAAAGAACAAGAATTTCAGAAAGTCAGGACCTTCCTCACAAAAAATGAACTTTGCATTTCTGTGTGCATATGTTTATGTGTTATTTAACATATATTATTATACAAATTAATATAAAAATAACTTAAAATTAAAGTAAAATTTGTTTATTTTTGGTNGAAAAGCCAGGACCTTCCTCACAAAAAATGAACTTTGCATTTCTGTGTGCATATGTTTATGTGTTATTTAACATATATTATTATACAAATTAATATAAAAATAACTTAAAATTAAAGTAAAATTTGTTTATTTTTGGTCGCGTGTTCCCTTACTCTATGTTACTCTATGTTAAAATTACCTCATTACATATTTCGAAACCGTGTTGTATCTTTATATTAGTTTTTCAAGACCGCAATGCAGCGTAATAATCATTACACTGCATTGCAGTTTTGAAAAACTAATTAAAATTACCTCGTCTAACGCTATTTCATTTAGTGCCTTATCATCTAGGAATGCATCCCACATGTTAAGTGGGGTCTTACTGTATATTTATAAACAAATTAATCTTAAAATTTATTACTTTGCTTTATCACAATGTTCTTTTTAACTAGATGTGATACTTAAAGAACATATTCTTATATAATATCCAATAGAAAATTTTAATTAAAATTACTAAAGAATAGTTACTTAAATAGCTATTCTTGTATACTAATAGTATATTAGAATGGGGATTCAAACATATTTAAAAATTTGAGTTAAAATAATATATAAAAATAAAATGACATTAAACTAATAATAAAATAAAAATAAAATAATAAATATAAAAAACTGAAAGAAATTTCAGTTTTTTTTAATAAAAACAACATATTGTATACAATAAGCATTTATATTTGAAAATACAGGCAAATCCTACAGAACATCAATTTTCAAAACCCAAATTTTGTTAAACATGTGTATCTCTCCAATACAATAATTTTTAATAAAATGATATGCAGGAAAGGTTCAAATTAAATTTCAAATACAATTGATAGAATATCAATTTAGAATCACATGTAGATATTTTGAGAAGTGCATTAAGTATCAACAAATTTGTTAATAAAATTTTTACTTTTATATTATTCCTGTTAAATCATATGTTTTTTAGTGCAGTATTTTCTGTTCTGCATTGTAACTGAAATTTTAGAAATAAAAACACCTATATTTTGCATTTTAATTCAGCAAATATAAATAGAAGTCTATAAAATTTTACAAAAGAAACACTTAAGATGCAAATGTTTTCAGAATTCTTAATTTCATTCTCAAACTTTTTTTTTTTTTTTTTAACAAAATTAGAACAGAATAAACAAAACATTCATAGGAAACTGAATAAAAAATTTAAAATTTGATTCTGTTTGATATGAATATTTTGTATTTATTCTGTTCTTATTTTATTAAAAACATTTGAGAGTGGCATTAAGAATTCTGAAAACATTTCAAGATTTTCTATTATTATTTTATACACTTCTCTATTACATTGCATAATGAATTAAAATTAGAATAAATTAGATAAGTAATCAAAGAATTTTTATGCTATCATTTATATTTAAGAAATGGATTATGGAAATTTCATGTAGATAACTCAAAAATTGTGTGTGTTTAGAAACCAATGGATGCACATTCTGTGATGGGGTGAGTTATATGCCAATTTTAAATTACAATTAAAAATTCATCAAACAACTTTATCTTAGTCTAAAGCAGTGTTTCTCAAACTTTTTTGTCAGGTGGCACACTTGAAATTATTAAACAAAATTCACGGCACCCCTATTATTATTATTATTATTATTATTATTATTTATTTTGCTTTTTACGGTTAGTAAAGATATGAAGGATGAGAAGACTTTGAAAAAAATAAAAGTTTTTTATTAAAGTAAGTAAGTTTATTTCCAAACAACACAAAAGCATTCAAAACAAAAGTTATTATTATAAAGGTATCTTTTAATTATTTATTTAATTTAATACTTTAATTCAATTATTTTAAGTAATTTTAATTTAANCAGTAAAAAACCCCCTATAAGATATAGGGGGTTTTTTACTGTTTTTTACGGATACCGGTCACAATTTTTTCATAGTTTTATAGGAATCGTAATTATAGGGGGGTCGACTGTACATATATTTATTATTATTTTACTTTGTATTGTTAATATTGAAAGAATGTTATTTTGTTGCTGTATTTTGAATTAAAAAGTTGCTGTATTCTTGCAACTTTTTAATTCAAAATTAGCTTTACTATAGCTTTTTAATTAAAGCTAAACTACATATCTTTGATTAAGTAACTAGAACAAAATGTATTGGCAAAAATTGGGTCAATGAAAAAAATGTTGAATTTAACATTGTTATATTTGTATATAAGGATTTTGTTAAATTTGAAAGCTTGGAAAAATTCACACACACACTCACTTATCAATCAAGAAATTCTTAAAAATAATGCTCTAATTTGAACTATTTTAAAATTTAAATTATTATTTAACAACTTTTAAAGACAGCAGTAAAATAATTTTTTATATAACATTTTCCAAACAGTAATTAAAGAAAAGAAACAATTTCAGCACTATATTGGATTGCCTGACCATTACAATTCATGAAGTCTTTACCATGTAAGGAAGCACATTTTTGAATGAGTTTGCTTCTGAAAGACAAAATTAAATTTTAATGTCTTAACTTAGTTCACAGAGAAAGTGAATTGCTGATGTAGTAGAAAGAGGAACAAATATTATGTCAACAATGACAAATTTTTCCATTTTGTGAATTCAAACTACATTTTAACATGTTGAATTTTTTGCCAAGTAAAACTATTTGCCACTAATTGGAAAAATGATTTATGGAGATAAGAGAGAGAAAAAGTATATTCTTTTTAATTGACATGTTTAATTATATTCTTAAGATGGCCAGATGGTTAATGCTTTGGAAAAACTGGAATATAACTTGATGCAGGCAACTCCAGGCACTTTTCATGGGCAGTCCTTCTCAATGCACTCTGGGATGGACTACTCATGGCTACCTCCATTGTGATCTAGACTGAAACCATAATGTGTGTAGAAAAAGGGGACATCATAGCATCCTCATGACAAAAAATTTTTTTAAATTATGCTCTTACAGATATTGTAAATATAAATAATTTTAATAAATAAATGGAATTAGTGAGCATAAAAACAATTTGCTATTACAGCCACCATCTTGTTTTAACAGTATTTGTGGTTGTTTGCATATTACTGATCATTTCATTGTTTGTTTTGTGAAACAGCAATGGGAATCAAATTTTCTATTAAAAATTAAATTTGTTTTTTGCATTCTGCTTTCACTAGCAAATATCTTTCTGTACAAAGGTTAAACATTCTTCACAGAAAGTAAGAGCAGAGCCATTAGATATTATATACTTTAAAATTATTTGCTATTTAATTTTTCCTGAGTTTATTTTAGCATTTATTATTATTATTATTATTATTATTATTATACGAATAAAACAGAAATAAATTAACATGATAATAAAGCATTATTATTTGTAGACATTTGTATCTTTTCTACAAAAAGTTTTGGAGGTTTGCTCTTTATATTCCTTTCCCCTTATTTTAAAAACAAATTGTTTTTCTATTACACTTCATTGTAGATGTAATGTTGAGTTGGTACCTTATGAACCAGTGTCATGCTTTCTTTCAACACTGATTTGGAAGCACAAGGTAAATAAAGTTAGGTGGGTTTACACGAATGATTTTATTTTGTTCTAATAATTTTCTGCATGGTATACACCATCATGGATTACCCTCATAAAACTACAATACATAGGCTGCCCTCATTTTATACTGGTATTGCATTCCTGAAAAAGTCATCATAAACAAAAATCATCATAAAATAATCCATTTTATTATGGAATAATTAGGAATCTGTTCCAGACATTCACAATATATATATATACATAAAATCATGTCTAGTACCAAAATGTTTACTAATACAAAAATACTAATATAAAAATCATAGCTTATAACTACTTATTTATAGTTGAGATTGATGATGCAGTTTTTATATTTCCACTGTGTTGATCTCATATAGCAGTGCAACTGGGTGCAACTTCAATTCAGTAATGATGACCCTGGTTGAGGGTCAACATCCACTAATGATGAGCTTGGTGAGGGTCAAATATCTTCATAAAATATGAATTTAAAGTTGTTTGCTGTGCCTTTCTTTTCTTCTTCTTCTTCTTGAGAATTTCATAATAAAGTGCTAAGGCTTCAATACCTCCTTACAAAGTCATTTCATTCCCAGTCAGGTCCATTTTGCAACACAGACTTGGACTACACTATATACTTGGACTTGGACTACATTTGGATTCACTAATTTCTTTTAATTTGACATGGCTTTCTTTTCTATTTTTATTATATGAACAATAAGCATTTTAAAATAATAAACAAACAAACACCAAGCCCAAGATATCTCAGGCAAATTACATAGCATTACATAAAATGCTGTCCTTAAGGCCACTTTTGACAAATTTTTTTTTTTTGAATTTTTGGAATGTTTTTTAAGTCTCCAAATTTTTTCAAAAATTTTTACCCGCGCAAAAAAATTTTATCGCGATTTTAATCAACCTTTAATGACGTGCAATTAATGCTTAATTGTTTTTTAATGGGATTTTTTTTATCAAATTTAATTAATCATTCTAAAGTTGTAGTGCACAGATTTTACTTAGGTAAAGTTACTTAAAGCTACTTCCTGATATCAAAAACGACCTCCAATAGTTTTTTAATTTTTTTTAATTAATAGATTTTATTATATATAAGTTTAATTAAGTTGGGGGAGGTCGAAAATCGCAATAAAAATTTTACTTTTTAAAAATATTTAAAAATATATGGCCAACTAGTATTCACCCTACTATAAAACCATCGCCTCCCGAGACTTCTATGAGAATGTCCCGGAAAATCAGACTCCAGCTGTTCTCAAGGTCATCCAGCTGTGTAAACAATGACCGGTCAGTGTCAAATTTCACAGAAAGGCGAGACAAAAGAAAATAAAATTTGAAGCTTTTTCTTAAAAATTAACGCATTTCTTTCGTTTTTTTTTTCAGTTTTAAGTATTTTTTATGTTTAATTACATTAATATCAAAAATTGCCCGAGCCTTAAGGAGTTAAAATGAAGTTGCTGCTAGGGTTACCACAAGAAATAATAAAAAAAAAAAAATGCATTTAACAGTTAAAAATATTCCATACATTGTAGAAAATTTTTGGGTAAAATCTGAGACCCATGTTATTGTCAAAGTAAAATGAGGACAACCCATATTGTAAAGTATATAAATATTAAAATAAAAATTTACAAGAATTGCACTAGTACTTACATCTTTAGTGTGAGCAGATATATAGTTAGCTGTCTCTGAGTCATCAGCGCACTTTGTCAGCCATTTTTTAATAATTTTGCAGTCAGTTGGTGCATGATAATCAGTACCACATTTGAAACTAAAAGAATTTTAAAACACTGTTATAGTATTTAACCATTTTTGATGAATCAAAATAAAAAATGAAATTAGTTCACTCATATTTATTATCATCAATTTATAAAATAATACACTTTATATAAGAGAAATATTTTGTAAATTATGGTTTTTAAAATTCTATAAATTTTAAAAATTTAAATATTCTCAAATTACTACTTTGAGAATATTAATTTCATATATTCTGCAGTTTGTATGTATTTTATATTTAAAAAACAGTTTTTATAATCAAATTTATTACTATACCACATACTAATAACTATATTTAGTTTTTTCTAAAAACTCCAGGTATCCCTCATATAACACAGTAATTATGTTCCAAAAAACTGCCGTGTTATGCAAATCTATGCTATATGAAACAAAGGATTAATACAAAATATAGGGCTAGGCTCCAAAGTTAACAAAAGTATACTATTCTTTTTCATTACTAAGAGAAATATAAGTATACTATTCTTTTTCATTACTAAGAGAAATATACTCATTAAAGTAATAAATAATTAACTAACAATTACAATTAAAAATACTGTATTATGCATTAATATTAATTTTAGTTAAATGAGGGCATTTTGTTTTTACTGATCATCATCTGAGCTTTTTTGTTGATCTTGATCAGACATATTGCAAAATTTTCATATTTTTTATTTTTATCATAAAGAATTTTTATGGATGATAAAATTAAAGTATGTTATTATTGAAAGTTTGTTCTAGAAGGGCATGTTTGTTCAGTCAAGGACTGAGTGATTTTTCCAGAATTTGTGTTTGAATACCAAACTTTTTAAGTTAGGGACAGTTCAAGTACAGAAATACAGCCGTATTTCATTCATCATTTTTATGAATGATGGCTTACCTACAGTTAAAAAAAAGCTTAACAACACTTACCTAAAACTGTTTAATCTTTGTATTTAGTAAAATTTATTTAATCTATTAAAACGAAACACAGTGACAGTCTTAAAAACTGAAGTCTGAAAGTAATGACAGTTGATAGGAAAGTCAGGACAAGGAAGAAAAGATTGCACTATTGGTTTTCATTAAAATAAATCTGATGAAAGGCACAAGAGAAATTAAAAATGTCAATATTATAAAAAAAATATTGAATAACTGAGTTTGCACTTAAAAGTTGTAAAATTTTGTGTGGAGGATTTTCCAAATTTACAAACTGAGTTAGAGTGAAACCAGAAACCATGTTGCACAAGAATTTCCCTAATTTTCAAACCGTACTGTAGAAGTGCCATGTTGTACAAGGGATACCTGTATATTAGTATATTAATTTACAGAAACTATTTATTTCAAGTAATCTTTAATTTCAAATATTGCAAATAAACCTTGTAATTTATACCTTGTTACTGAAATAGTTTAAAAATTTAAATACAAGTATTTTTTTTTTTTTAACTTAAATAATCTCCATTTCCAAATATAACAATTTCTTATAAAATTTCAAACTGTCTAAAGCTGTTGGATACTTATATCAAAACTAATTTTTATTTTTTCACAATTGAGTAGGCTAGATTATAATAAACAGCTTGAGTAATAATTAAGACTAAATTTCTAAACAAAATTTAGTTTTATTTATTATATCCCATTTTCCTGTTTACTCAGGTTCCATTTCTGTGTACCATATTGAAATAGATAAATAAAACTCATGCCAAAATTGTATAGCTTCTTGATAATAAGCACTGAGTTCAGCGTTAACAGAAACGTTGTGTTAACGCTGAACTCAGTGCTTGTTATCAAGAAGGTGTACCATATTATATTACAACATGTCATATTATTTATCCTGCCTCCAAAAAGAATTGGTACAAAAAAGTGACAGATCATATCATTTGTTGTCTCTAAACCTGAATTGGCAGCCCTGCATTGTGACAATGCCACAATAATTTTGTTTTAAAAAGAGATTTTTATATACAGGGTCTGTACATATAATTCCATCTTTGATTCTGACTTTCCCTGACTAATTATGACATTATTCCCTGACTTCTCTGCATTTTCCCCTTCTATTATGCCAAGTTCCAATGCTAAGCCCATTTTATACTCAATTATATAAATTTTTTTTATTAAAAAAACACTTTATTCACTTACAAAAACAAAAAACTTTGCATAAATTTGATTATGTAATTAGCTACGTCATTTCTACATAATATAAAAAATGATTTAATTTAAATTAATTCATAAATTTTATTTAAATAAGAAAAAGATTTGCATCACATCATAAAATTGAATTTTCTTAAATCAAGGTGGTGGGAAATTCAAAATAATTTAAACAGAAGCTCAGACCTATTCAAGATTGTTACATTTCTTCCCATCTTTCCCTGAAATTAAAGTGGGAGCGATGGAATTTTGGCAGGAAAGTGGGTCGTTGTCAATGGTGTTTTTGAAAACCCATTTTCCCATGGGCTATCTGAAGATGAAAATTTACAGTTAGAGAGAATACATCACAGATCATCAATCTGCCAAAATTGGCAGGATTATTATCTCTGCATACTGTATGTGATCAGCAGCAAAGAATGTGAATAAAAAATACATAATTTTGCACAACATCCACCATACATTCCAAATATCATTAAGTTCTTTGCCCTCTCATGGCATCAACTGACTGCAATGAGTTAACCAAATGTCATGAAGGTCAAAAAATCAGAGGGGTTGTGTACAGAACACAATCACAATTATTTAAGGCATGAATCTGTCTGTGTGTTATTAGAGGAAGGATAAGATTTAAACAAACAATAACTTGCTGGTTATCACATTCCAGGTCAATATCTATCAGTTTGGGCAATTCACTCAAAGTATTAGCGCTTGAGTTGACACGCTCAGTTTTCTTACACTTTCTACACAATCTGGATTGTTCGACATTAGTCTTTGGGCTTTTCTGATTCCTTTTAAATGTTTCTTTCTAATGAGATATGTTTCTTCCATTTCTGTTCATATTTCCTTTGAAATTTCTTCCATGTTATAAAAATTTTCTTTGACTCTCACATTTATTGACTTATAACTTTACAAATTCTATTTTGTTGGTTATTATTGCTAAATAATATTGTAGATCCTGTCCTTCTGTGCAAATCATCTTCAATTTCAACATCCTATCTCTTCCCCATCCAAAGTTTCTGTCCAAATGCCACACCATGTTGCCATTTTCAGTGTTCATGTGTAACAGCTACCCCTCCCCTGCAAAGCTACACACCCACACTACCCACAATTTTAAATACAGACGTAAACCTTCTATCCAACAAAATTTAAACCATTAGATTATCATTTATAGTTTACGAGATATAAGCATGACAAATTTTGCCATTTATTTGGTAGCTCCAGTTTTTTTAGACCTCCCTTCATCCAACTGAATTTAGACTTTTCCAATCAAAATACGGCAAGAATGATAGATGGATTCTGTGGTATTTGCAGATTCTATGACTTTCCTTGACTTTTTCTGCTAATAATCTTATTCCCTGACTTTCCAGGTCTGTACAAACAAGGCAATTAGAATTTCTGCCAACAGACCAAGACACTAGTTCATGGTATTTTGCTTGTTATCTGTTGTGTGAGCTCATAAATATCACAACCAAGAATTCAGTATTCAAATACCTAGCCCAAGTTATCAGGAATGAGAACTTTTTAGAATTGAATTGTTCTCAATTTTTGCATTTGAATATTTCCATTTTCAATTGGAATCACTTTGAAATCTAGTAATTAAATTATTTTTACACACAGTACACAAAAGTAATGTTAAAAGTGATTTTACTATAGAAATGAATGTAACTGCATCATTTCTATTTGGTATAGTTTAAAGATAAGAAAACTAAAATATGTTCAAAACAAAGAAATTTGATATAGCCTGATTCCAATTTACATAACTTTTACTGTAATTAAAGCAATTTGGACATTATAATCATGTTCTTAACTTGAATTCTTCAAGTTAAAAATGTTTACATCAAACAACCAGAATGCCAAAAATTGACAGTTTGGTTGTTTAATGTAAACTTTGACATTTATTATTGGGCTGCAATTTGAGAAAATTGTAGACCTATAAATTCCCACTGTTGTCTGTCTTTCCTTAATCTTGAAAACAGAGTAAGATAGATGAAAGATGAGACCAGATGTGGAAACCTTAGGGGCAGGAGGCCATGATTATGAATTTCCAATGCAAACTGGAATTCACATTATTTCAATTCAAAACTTTTCTTCTGAAAGCAGTTAAAAGATGACAAGCACAACTCCATTGCTATTGGAAAAATATGATCGGGGTACCTACTCAAATTTTTGGTTTAAATTCCATGGCTTTCCCTGACAAACTTTGTATAAATTCCCTGACCTTCAAGTCTCTTACAGTACAGCAATTGACAAAATAAAACACCATATAACTTACTACACAAATATGCTATTGCTTCTTTGACTTTTTAATTAGTTATTTTTTCTAATTAATAGTTACATAATTTTTATAATTGCTAAATAATTAAAATTATTTATCATTTTTTGTACTTTGTCATCATTTGTTTTTATCAGTTCATTAACATCTGCCTCAAACTGTGTGTGTAAATGGTAATTGTAAAAGATTTGTAGAGTTAAAATGTTTCAAAAAAATTTTAATGTTAGATTATTAAGAGTATTACAGACTTTTCTCTAAAATTCATAATACTGCATAATTTATACAACTGTGTTAAAATTTATAAATGACAATTGATATTGCCATATATTTGGGACTTAGTTTGATCCCTGGAATTTTGCAATGCTCTCCTCCTTGTTGCATTTTATAATTCTTCAAATAACTAATCAATATTAGTTTTTAAAATTAATTTGCACTATCAGTAAAAGAAGTAAATGTCTGTAATAATTGTATAAACATTAAATGAAATAAAAAAAAAAATACTAAAAGTGATTACAATTTACAAGGTCTGATTTTGAGTGATTTTAAAATACAATCTTACAACACAATAAAATAATAAGTCGTATGTGTAATAATTAAAATTGTAAAAAAAATGTAAAAATTAAAATTAAATTTTGGCTGACAGTATTTACATCAAAATATATATAAATAAAAATACATTAAAGCTACAAAATTGTCTTTGAGTTTCATTTAATGACAGAACATAAAGACAATTTTGTAGCTTTGATATATTTTATTTATTTATATTTTGATGTAAAAGTTAAAATTAACTCATTTGATATGGTTTGCAAAGTTTAAAGAACTGCTTACAAACTTGGTCTTTAGAATGGTATCAAAAAATAAAAATTGATGAACAACAATTGTGCATTCTTTACATTTCTATTATACTCACCCCACACATTAAGTCAACATTTCACTGTAATAGTTTTAATGTTCTTATTATCAACAGTATATCTATATTTAAATTGTAAAAACTTAATACAATTTTTGAAAAACTGGAAGAACTACATGTCTTTAAGTACAAAATACCCCAGTGACGAGAATTAACCTAGCATTTCTCAAACTTCACCTTCTGATAGACCTGTTTAATAAATTTTGATGTGTTATTTACATAATTTGCTTAGTTTTCTGTCAATATATTTGCCTTGATCCACAGGAATCTGTGGACCACACATTGTTGAGAAATCTGCTTTCCATCTGAATTATCTCAATCATCTGGACATGAAAATTTCTACTATTCAGCACTACATACCGTGCAAAACTTTTCAGTGTTTTCAGATTATGCTTTCAACGATGTCAAATAAAAAAAGCAGTTAAGTATCTTAGAATGAATAGATTTATGAGAGAAGGCAATGCAACACCTAAAAATCTTGCAAGGAGGAATGCATCCCAGGAAGACTTTCTACAGGAAACTGACTATTTAGGTGTTAGATTTGTGAAAAAAACCTGAAACACTTCATATGGCCAGCCCACTGGAGAGATACAAACTTACAACCGATTACCAGTGTTTTATCCACTAAGTCATTGATGGAGCTATGCACATAAGGAAGCCAGTATTAATTACCATTGTGAGGACCAGAAATTTTGTGTTTTATACTAAAATTTTTTTTTATAAACTTTATAAAGACAGAACGAGAAAACAGAAAATTAAAAGAGAAAAAGGAAAAATAAAAGCAATAAAACTCGATTCCCACGAGTTGGGTTCCTTGTTGAGATGAGTACATTTCTGTGTCACGATTGTGTCACCCGTCCCCTCATTGGACCAAGAAGATCGTCATCGCTGACAAAATCGGAGAAAAGTTCGAAAAAGAGGACTTGATATAAAAGGGCCAGGCATGATGAGAAAGGGGGTGGAAGTTATTATTATTGGTGCCTGTGTGTGTGCTCCGAACGTCTACCTCCCGCCGAGATTCCGTCAACCAACACCTCCTTCTCAACTACAAGACTAGAACTGAACTCATCTGACTTCAATACATATTCAACTGGAAGGAACTATTGAACGTTTTTTGCTGGACTTGATCTCCTTTACAACCTAAGGTATTTATCCTGCCCGCGCACTATTGTACGCTCTCTCTCTCCACGTAAACAAAATGCGACCCCGGTCGTTAATTTGAACTAAAAATTGAATAATAACTGAACCCAACTCATGTAGTTTATGTTCGCATTTATTCGCTGATGTAAACCAAATTTAGATTATATATAAATAAACGGTTTTTATGTTTAAAACTTCTGGAGTGCAGTTTCTTCCGTTTTTCTCTCAATCTCTCCATTCCGGGTCCAACCCTCATACCTATCCGCTCACGCGAATTTGTGGTCTCTGTATCAACCGAAGGATACAGTGGTGTCATCCTGACGGGGTATCGAAGAGATACCGACCCTATGGTCACACCATGACCTAGACCCAACTTGTGTTATTTTAAAATTTTAAATCATTTCAAAAAATTATAATGTTTTAATGAAATTATTTAAATTGTAAATGTATGTAATTTTTCCTACTAACTTTATTTAAAATAATTTAAAGGAGTGTTTTAAGAAGTTAGACAAAATGGCCATGGTGAGAAAATAATTTCAACAATATGAAAATTTTCCACAAAAAAATGCAAAAAAAGCCTTATAAAAATTCATTCTGTGGTCGTCATCATAAATAAATTTTGTATTTTTGGAAGTCAAAAAGTCTATTAATTACTCTGTGCTAAAAATAAAAATAATCATTTATGGCACTGAATTCAATTTTATTTCTATTAATCAACATATTGAATCAAGTTTATAATTGTATATGCTATCCTATGATGATGAAAACATGTGCTTAAATTAAAGCATTCTTTTTATCTAAAATATTTATGCTAACTTATCAGTTTAGTGTTGCATGGCATATTGTATGGTAGGCCTACTTACTTATATGTATTATTTAATTTGAATTTTTCAAACTATGTAATAATAATTATTAACTGGTTCATAAATTATGGTTTTATTTTCGGTGCAATAATTTTTAAGGACATTTTGGGTCCTGAAAATATTCTGCATGCCTTTTCATAAGTTTCATTGTATCATGTTACTTCTTGCTGCCTACAGACAGCTACACTTGGTCTACCTTATTGTGAGAAAAAAACATCAACAAGACAGCCAAGGAGGCAAATTTCCTGACTTTTTCACAATTTTTCAAATTTCCCAACTTCCCATGACTTTTCCTGAATACCAATAAAAATCCTTGACTTTCCAGGCGCTTAGGAATCCTGTATGATGTACAGTGGCAAGACATACAGTACTGATTTGAGATGAAAAGCATATATTTTAAATTAAAAATTGCAGCCTGGCATTGTGATGATGTCACAATAAATAATTGCTCGTAATTTTGTTTATGTTGTAATTGCAGAATCTAGTTTACAGATATAACGATTTATGTATTTTCACAGTTATTAAATTTTCTACAAACAGATTTCAACTGTATATATGCAATATATTTATGCAAAGAAATTTTACACACTATTTTCTTCTAATATTACACTATATATGTCAATAAGTTTTTCTCATCAGTTATCAAAATTCAAACAACAAATTATTACTGCCCATTTCTGTTTTATATTTAAAAATAAATTGAAGACAAACTTGGAATGTTTAGAATAAATATTTGTTTGTTTTTAATTTTTGACAGAAATTGATAAAATGAAGAAATTATAAATTTTTATAAAATATCTTTAAAGAAGTAAGAAAAAAAATAATACACAATCTTACCAAAACTGTGTCTTACAATGCTTACAGATAACACGTTTACTTTTAGATTCTTTTGCTCGGACTACAACAGTACAATTAGGTCCTGGACAATACCTCAGTTGTGGATGACTCTGATTAAGAATTAAGTTTTTGTTTAAATTAAAAGAATAAATATTTTAATATTCAAATTTAATCATCATTATTAAGGTCTGTAAAGAAATTATACACACACTTGAAATTTGTGTATAATTTCATACAATGTTTATTTACACCAATATTATTGTAAATAATTACTCAATTAATATAAAAATTGCAACCAAATCTGTTGTAAAATAATTATACATATAGTTGTAAATTTTCCCCTTTTACATAAAGGTTTAATAATTAATATAATTTCCTTTCTTTTGAATTAGCTTGTAAATCCACTTATGTTTTGTTTCTGACAAGTGTTTCATGTAAGTTTATTTTATTGCAATAATTATAAATTGCTGTCAGTTCATCAGCAGTTGTGTATTGTTTGTTGTTAGCATAGACCATTTGAGAAAGCAGAGCCCACACATGTTCCATTGGATCTAAGTATGCAGACTTAAGCATTACATCTATTTTTTGTTTAAACCAGTTTTGGTGAATTTAGATATATGGCAGGAAGCATTGTCTTGCTGAAATACCCATTTATTTCTTCCAATCAGTGATTCAAATAACATATTTTAATATTTTTGAAGTCATTCTATCATTAATTGTGATAATATCTGTTTTGCCATTAAAAGCAAATGCTGATCAAACCATGACTCCAAAACACCTCCCATCTGTCTACAAAAATATCCCTTTGGTTGCTTTCTTAAATCATGCCAATACCCATTACCACCTATTACACCCAGATTAAACATTTTTCATCTGAAAACACCATGTTTTTCCATGTGTCAGTTCAACTCATTACTGATTTTGTCTATTCTAATCTGTTTTGTTTGAAGTCATTTGTAAGCTTAGGTTTTGCCTTGAGTTTAACATAGGCAACATCATCAATATTTTTGAAAATATAAGCAACTATTGAATGAGACATTTTTAACCCCTTCTGAGCCGCGCTCGAGTGTGACTCGAGCAAGTTTTATAGCGTTACGTCGTTAAGGCCACTTTTGAAAAAATTATTTTTTTTGAATTTTTGGAATGTTTTTTAGGTCCCCAAATTTTTTCAGAATTTTTTGCGCACGCGAAAAAATTTTATCGCGATTTTAATGAGCCTTTGATAAGGCTCGATTAAGGCTTAATGTTTTTTTAATGGGAGTTTTTTATCAAAATTAATTTATCATTCTAAAGTTGTAGCGCACCGATTTTCCTTCGGTAAAGTTATTTAAAGCTGCTTTCTGATGTCAAAAACGACTTCCGATAGTTTTTTAATTTTTTTAATTAATAGATTTTATTATATAGAAGTTTAATTAATTAGGGGGGGTCGGAAATCGCAATAAAAATTATAATTTTTTTAAAATATTTAAAAATATACCGCCAGATTGAAGTCACCCTACTTTAAACCCTTGTCCTCCCGCGATGTCTATGAGAATGTCCCGGGAAATCGGACTCCAGCTGTGTTCAAGGTCACCCAGCTGTGTAAACAATGACTCATCGGTGTTACATTTCACAGACAGGCGAAACAAAGGAAAATAAAAT